CAATATTAAAATATCCCGCCCAGATAAATCTCAAAATAATAAGAAGACTGTGCTGAATTTTGTCCCTTTTAATGGTCAAACACAGGAAGGGTCACATAGAAAACCAAGAACAGCCACATCTTTCAAGACTTGCAAGCAAACCACCTCCTGTGACGCCTGGGCACCAGGCGCAGGCACGGAGGGGTCCCGGAAGGGTCTTGCCTCCGGCAGCAGAAACACGGACCCCATCAGAACGGCTGCAGGCACCAGTTCGGGCGGAAGACTTGCCTCGCCAGGACGGCCAACCAGACCCAGCACAGCCGAGACGCCCCACAGGCCGCCCAGCCGCATCCCCCGCAGCTCTTGTGGTCAACTGCATCCCTGTAACGAACTTCTCAGCCAGGTCATTACACATCGAACGTGAGGGGGGCATACAAGTTTACAGGAATAAGTCTGAGGCTAAAGGACTCTCAGGATATCTTCCAGTTCATCTTTCTTTTCTAAAAGAGAGATGAACCTTATATTTTACTCCAGAGCAAATATCATATTTTTCAGAGATGCTATCGCCCTAGGTGTGACATGGGCGACGCTGACCCTGAAGGAGGCCCCGTGCCCTCCCCACGCGCCCGTCACCCTGTCCAGCAGAGGCCTGGGGCACAGCGACTCCTCAACCTGAGTGCTGAGCACGCGGGCGCTGGCAATGGAGCCGGTGACCACGCGGTGACAGCAGTCATCAGCCACGCCTGGGAGGATGCGCCCTCTTTATAAAGAACAATTGCTTTGCTGTCTCTGGCGTTTTTTTGCTTTGGCTTTAAACAGAATTTGAATGCTAGTCTTCCCTTTCAAATTGGGGGAACCCGCGTAAATAGCACGCCTCCCCTATGTTCACACAGCAGATGGCAGAACACGTATTTTAATTTAGACTCTGACTAGTAGTTGAGACGGACAGTGACCCTCAGAGTTTCTTTTCCAAAGTAACTCCTATGAAATAAAAGACTCTATCAGCAATTATCTTCCAAACTTTCAAAATAGAATTTCACTAGAAAGTACTTATTTTCTCAGTGAACATGGCGCACGAATGTCCAAACAAAGATTTGGGACGACTGAAAATATCGAGGACGGGGAGCAGATAATCACAATGTCAAGTCATGTACACTGTTAGTGGTTCACTTAGAAACATACAACAAAATCACACTAAGAACAGGACAAACATGTGGACTCTTAAAATTACTGTTATCATTTTTAGTCTGAGGACATGGGGGACGTCGTGGGGAAGCACTCTGGTTCTTCTAACCCAGCACTTTACTGGGACACGAGCAGGGCACGGCAAGGAGCCGGTGGCATGGGCAGATGGCCTCTACGCTCAGATGGGGTCCTGTCACAGAACCCACCGGTGCAAAGTGTCATTCCCTACGGACAGACCCAGGACAACACAAGAGTCAATAGACACAGTTAACCCTTGTTGACACATTCATTCTTCGGCATTCTTTTTTTCAATAAAACTCACTTTAAATTACACTAAAATGGCAAACAGAGCAATTCTTTCCTTCCTTTACACATCCATCACTCCTATATTTCCTGAGGGCAGGCAGAAGGGACCAGAATTACCGCGTCACACGACTGCTTATTGGTGAAACCCGAGAGACTCACCCACAAGCGTTCACACACACCCGGACCCATGAAAGTGCTGCTGGTTTACTCGAACATTCTCAAAAATCGCTATTGCCCTAAAGGCAAGACCTCTACCGCGTCTCCTTCAGAATCACCGTCCACCTCTCTGAGGATCCACCGCTGGACGCCTTCAGTGACGAGTGGCTCCATGCGCCCCGAGGTCCCCAGGCCCTGGGCCCTGGCAGAGGCGGGCCGCTACCTGTGTGGCCCCAGCGCAACCTCTTTAGAAAACATCTTCAGCTTTCAACCACAGGACAAGAAGAAGTCAGTTCTCGGAGGCACAGAAGAAACACACGGTCGATCTCCCCCTCCCTCAGCAGCATGGAACAGAGACAGAGAGAGTCAGCAGTGGCTGTTTATAGACAAAATATGACAACACTGGGGCAGTCCATTACTGAACACTGCAGACAGGCAAATGCCATCTGGGCAAGTCTAAGATACATTTGACATCGGCCATATAAATTGAAGTGACAAGCAGGAATCGTCTGGAGTTCTAGGTTCGTATATACCAAAATATGTGTGTAGCAAAGAAAAAGAGCTTTCGTGTCCTCAGTAGTTTCGAGTGCGGACAGATGCGGTGGCGTCAGGAGGACGCAGGAGGGGAGGTGGGCCGACTCCGAGCCTGAGCGTGCTCACGGCTCCTGTTGGGAGCATCTCGGGGTCCTGGGTCTTCCCAACGGTGGAAGAAACCCGGAGATGAGGGACCCCAGCCTCGACTCCTCACGCTTCTCCAAAGGGCCCATTTCCAGGGCTGGCAGCAGCCGGGGTGGACTTCCTCCAGGCACGTGGTCCCCAGAGCCCTCCCCGCCCTGAGGTCAGAGGCCATTGCTGTTCCTGTGGCAGAGGGGCGGCTTGGCGAGCTCGAGCAGCCCAGCTCGAGGTTTGTTGAGGAACTTGGGGGCGCGCCGCAGGAGCCGCTGGGCCTCCGTGAAGGTCTCGGTGAGCTCCTTCTTCCACTGCACAAACTCGGGGTCACTCTACACGGAAACACACAGGCACAAGTCGGGACAGCCCCCCCATGCGGCCACAGGCGCGGACGCCTCTGGTCACTACCAGGGTCCTCGGAAGCCCCCATGAAAGCACCCTCTACCTCTCCGCCCCACCGCGGAGCCATCAGCAGTGACTCATGCAGTGACCCCCTCCAGGGTCTCTGCAGAGAGAAGGCAGGGCTGGGTCAAGCCCCTTGGACGATCCCCATGCAAGCCCCCCGGAGAACCAGTGCCTTTAGGTTCTGCAGAGACCGCCTCTGACTTCTGACTTCCAGAACAACTCAAGTCTAAAAACAAGCCACGAGCAGGACCTCTGACAAATTAAAAAGCATCTCCCCGTATGCAGTGCAGTCCTGAAGCTCTTAATCACATTTTTGTATCTACCATGGTTTCTCTCTCTAAATACACTCTGTACACACACACGCCCGTACCCCAGCAGAAAAGTGCTCAGGAATTAAATTTGGGCTACGATAGAAATTTGGGGAGAGAAAGATGGCCTTTCTCCAAGAGGAGTCCCTTTGGTACTTCATGTTTATTTAACCATGCAAACCTCAACCTGGAACGTGAGGAAAGATAAGATCTGGGAAAATTATGTGTCAAATACAATTCTAGGCCCCTATGACACACTGCACAGAGTTTCCAGATCAAGTCATCAAGTCATTCCATGTACTTCCTCCTCACATTTTCTAATATTTGTTCCTTTAACAATAACTGTTGGGCCGGCCCCATGGCTGAGTGGTTAAAGTTAAGTGTGCTCCACTTTGGCAGCCCAGGTTCACAGGTTCAGATCCTGGGCATGGATCTATTCTACTCGTCAGCCATGCCATGGAGGTGTCCCACATACAAAAAATAGAGGAAGACTGGCACAGATGTTAGCTCATGGCAAATCTTCCTCAGCAAAAAAGAAAAAAAAAAGTTAATTTGCTGAGAACTTGCACCTTGGGATTTCTTGCAAAGTCTGTAAGTGATAAAGCATGGGGTAAGAAAATGTTGTCCCACCAGGCAGCCATCTTTGCTGAATATTTATTTAACTGTTCTAACCTTCATCTAAGGAAAAACGACATGAAAACTCACCTCACATTGCAAGACAAATTGCTTCCCTCCTTTTATCCGCAACAAAATGCACTTTTTATCTTTAATCTGAGTTTCTTCCACAGACAGAATCTGTTCCATTGTCAGTAAATTTTGCTAACCATAGAAAGAAAAAAAAATGATTAATTACTTCACATTAGTTCAGGATTTCTTAAGTTAAATGAATAAATAACACCCCAAATGATAAGCTTAGAAAAAATTTTAAAAAAAATTGGTATTTTTCTTTCTTTGACAATATTCTAGAAGTGGGAAGAAATGGCTACAAAAGAACCTGAAGAAAAGTTCAAATTAACACATCTCAGAGAAAACCGCAAAGAAAGGAATGTCTCTCTAAGGCAAAAGAGCAAAGCTATTTCCCTCAACGCAGAATTGATTTTTAGATGGTTAGGAACCATATCGATGCTTTCTGTAAACTCAATCAACACAGCCGTGAGGGAACGGCGGAGCGCGACAGGACTTACTCGAGCAAAGGCATGGGGCTGAGTCTCAACCCCGCAGCTCAGTGAATGTCAGGGAACACTAGCCTGAGAACATCACAATGATCTTCTCAATACCGGTGACAGCCTTAAAAGATTGTCACACCAGAGCTATAGCACTATTGCCTAAGGGGATGCTAGAGTGTCCGGGGAACCTTACCATTTTATGTTTTTTTGGATAAATATGCCTGGAACCCTAAAAGACAAACACCACCACCATCAACTCTCACATTTCCTTTTTCCTTATTTACACTTAGGAAGCCACCCATGCATATCATGTAGCTTCTCGAACGGAACGCTGAACGTTGACTCTTAAAGATAATTTATTGCATCCGATGTGAAACACAGGAAGACGTTTTTTTTTAGTTTTCAAACATCCTGAAAAGTAAGACAATTTCCTTTCAACGTGCACAAGAGTGACTTACCAGCAGAGAGCACAATAAATGCAAAATATGACCAGGGCCACTCATCATCTGGAAATATTATATATTATAATATATATGGAAATATTATAGAATTATATAATAAGATCTATACGAATTATAACTCAGATCCTGGTAAGTACTATATAATATAAATTATAAAATAGTAAAATATAAATATGTAAACAAAATAATATATATAATATATAAATATATACAAAGAAAATATCTATTTTATATAACATTATATATTTTATATTATATACCACCTACCATCACCTGAGTTGTAATTCAGGACCCCCAAAGAGTCTTATTAACGTAACTCAGATCCTAGATACAATAACTTTTAGAAAATGACTTCTGGGGCCAGCCCGGTGGCGCAGCGGTTAAGTTTGCACGTTCCGCTTCTCAGCGGCCCAGGGTTCGCTGGTTCGGATCCCGGGTGCGGACATGGCACCACTTGGCAAGCCATGCTGTGGTAGGTGTCCCACATATAAAGTAGAGGAAGATGAGCACGGATGTTAGCTCAGGGCCAATCTTCCTCAGCAAAAAAAAAAAAGAGGAGGACTGGTGGTAGATGTTAGCTCAGGGCTAATCTTCCTCAAAAAAAAAAAAAGAAAATGACTTCTGTGGCACTAGTGACAGAAGATCTTGTTCCTCTGCAAAGAATGTGGTGACATGCAATGGCAATCACTCCTAATTAAATGGCGTCCTCACCAAGAGAGATTTAGAAAATGCATTCCCAACTCAAAGATAAAGATACAGGACGCGGGCTTACAGCCGTCCACATGTCTGACTGCTGGGGCACTGAGGGGCAGCCTCCCACACATCCGGGACATCACCCTCCCTGTTAACCGCTGGGCCCGCTGTCCCGCTTCCCACTGGCCGTTCCCTCCCCAAGAGCAGAAACACACCTTCTGCCTGGGGGGGTGCCTTCCCCGGTGACAGGCCCTGTGCTCCTCACACAGCAGGTGCTCAATAAATGCTGCCTGACTTGCCAAGAGAGACAGCGTGGACGAGAACTTTCTTGTTAGCTTGTTCACAAACACTGGCTCCTAAAGGACCTGAGCTGCATCTCCCCGTCTAACTGTATGAAATCCCTTACGACACGAGCTGGACCCTCAAAGGCTGCTAAGCAAATTAAATGCGCGTTTTTTTAAACAGCATCTGGCCAAAGATAAATATTCAAAAATTGTAGTTGTTATCATTTCTATTTCTCCCGTTTCACAGATGAGGAAACTGAGGCTCAGTCCACGTCATGTGCTCCGAGTCCCAGAGACACCGAGCTGTGGAGTTAAGCGCCTCTGTCTGACTCCGACGTCCCGGAGTTGCTTTCTTTTAGGATCTACCCAACTGCCCTCCAGTCTCCTGACCTCAGCGAACGGCACGGTCTATTTTCAGATATTACGAAATCCTTCCCTTGACTCAGAAGTTTAAAAATTAAAGTCTGCACATTAAAATCTGATGCACACGAGTTAAAATAGAGCGAGCGTCGGAGGACGCTTTCTGCAGCCGGTCAGCCATCTGAAGTCCCCGGCTGACGGTCGGCAGAAGGAGACAGCGCACGTGGCCAGCCCGCCCCCGAGACTTACTCGGGACTCCCCCTCGCCTCTCCATTCCAGTCGGTTTGGAAAGAGGTAAAAATATCGCCGCTGCCACTGAGTCAGAAACGGGTTCCCCAGCTTCAGCATGTACCCGTGCATGATGCAGTCTCTTCCCAGCGCGTAATCTGAGGAGCAGAAAATAACCAGAAGTCACACAGGCGCTGGGACAGAATGTCCCTGTTACTCTCAGAGAAAAGGAACTACACGCTTTTTGGAAAAATCAAGTTTGCATAAATCTAACACATTACAGAAACCACGATTTCTGTTTTTAAATGCGTGTTTACTGGGACTCTGAACAACAGGCTTCTTCAACCCTCGACTGGCATAGGAAATGGCCATTGCTCAATATTCTGATAAATTCCTGATGTTCGCTTATGGCTCTGAGAGGGCGAAAGCTTGTTCCCAAGCTATATTTTTATCATGTGTAACGAGAACTGGAGAAGAGAGAGTCGTTACATTCAAGCTATGCCCACAGCACTCCCGCCTTCCTGTGGGACTGGGGATCTCCCTTCACTCTTATAAAAAAGAACAGAGTGGGGGTTTTCTCGTCCAGTAAGCCTAAGTAACACAAGGATCAGAAACTGTTCATTCCTAGATTTAAGATTATGTTTATCCTCCAAATATATGGTTACGTAGACAGACCAGGCTAATTCAGACTCATGTCGAGCCCTGATTACATTTTTATAGGGAAGTATTGTCTCTTAAAAAAAAAAAAAGAAAAGCTTAAGTTGAAGTGGCTGGCTTTGCCTTCATTAAAGGCCTTGGTGACCATGCTAACATCATTCATTCACTCCCTTACCCATTCATTCTACAACTATTACGTGGACACCTAGGTGCCGGCGTGTGCTGGGCATTCTGGATCCAGCAATGAGCAAAAGACAAACTCCTCACCCTCGGGGTCACATTCTAAGGAGGACATTCAGACTGTAAACAAACAGGCCATCCCCACGGTGCCTCCCATGAGCACGGGCAGGAGGGGAAGAACCCAGGGGCGAGGGGACGAGGGGGGGTGGAGGCGACGGGGACGGGGGGAGCTCCACGGAGCTGCCATGTTAATAGCAGAAGTGTCTGCGTTTCTAAAGGGCATTTAAAGTGTCAGCCTTGGATGCTGACTTCCGAGATCTGAGGCCATGCTAGAATGTTCCGTGAGGTCGACTTCTCAGATCTGCAACCGAGACCCAGCTATGCCCAAATGACTCCCCAACACAGGGAGACCCACTCATTCCCCCGCCAGCCATTCTAACGGCAGCTCTAACGAAAAGGAGCCACTTCAACAAGGTCATTAAGACGTGCGTTTTTTCTGGGTCCAATCTGTCAAGATTTTAGTGCCATCGTGGCTCGCCCGTGAGCAAATTACCATGGATATATATAAGTTCCTGTGTAAAATCTGCTGGGCAAACAGTCCAGAGCGCTCTCGATGGACCTGTTTTCTAAGGAAGAGCTTAGAAGTAAGGGCCTTTTCTCTGCAGAAGGGAGGTGTGTGCGGTCAGAGGGCTGTGACGTCCCCTTGGTGTGCCCAGGTGACTCCGATGCCAGGAGTAAGGATAAAAGCTACTGGGAAACTGCTGATAAGATGATGACGCCGCAGCAAGACGCCCCACCGAGGCAATCTATTACACAGGGAAGCTCTCTCTGGTCATTCTTGCCCTATATTCACCTCGCAAAGGTCTTTAATTAGAAGTAAAACGAAGTGATATCTTACTACCATCAACCACAATAAATTGAAGTATATAAAATTCATAAGGTCTTAGAAAAAATCAAGAGTGACGATACGTGGTGCGTCAAGAATAAATGGTTTATTGAACACTGGATGTAATGAGTTCTGCTTTGAAAATCCTCACAGGGCACTCAAATATTGTAAATCAAAATACGGTTGGGCGATTCTTCAATGCTGTTGATAACATAAATGTATTTATAGACACTTACATCTCTGGACAAGTGCCCTGTGATGCTAAGTTCCTGACCAGGACCAACTACAGTGGAAAAGGAAAATGCAGGCCCCCTGTTTAAAAATCATTAAGAATGTCACGGTGGTGACAGCAGAGCCTTAAACCAAGAATCTGAAGGCTCCAAGATAAGAGGACACACCACAAAACACTGCTGCCTGTCTTGACACATTTTTATTTATGTCAACTGAAGACTCTGATATATTAAACTGAACTTTTCCAAGCCAGAAAAAACTAAAACAGGTTATGGCATTTCCCCCTACTGGAAAGTACTTTATGACCCAAACGCCTTTTTGGCTTTACGAGAACTTTCGAAAATGCACGGCATTGGAAATACTTCGAGACACACTCGCTCTTTTACCTTCTTCGTGGCCGAGCTGCTTATTTTTAGCTCTCTTCCTGGCCTCGAGTTTATCCGTGTCGGCGTTTACTGCTTCGTAAACGGTTTCGGCAATTTCCTGCTGCCAGCGCTCAGAGATCACCAAGGGGAAATTCTTGTAGAGCTCTTGGTCGCAGTCAAGAAGCTTATTTTAAGAAATCGAGAGGTTTATGGTTTAACATACTTACGAAGGCAACAGATTCAAAAGCACTGTAACTGCATGTAGGAAGATAACTAGAAGACAGCATATAATCATTCAGAGACAATGGATATTCGTTGTCACAAATCTCTATAGGGACAATCAGGCAACCGGGATCCACGAGTGGTTAGAACTGATGAGCACTTCACTTCCGTTCCTGGATCAGCCAGATTCCGCCCACTTTTCTAGGCTCTCTTCATTACATTTTTGCCAGGGAAAACTAACATATAGAGGGTTTTATTTAAAGTATTAAAAGATTCTAATGACATAAAATTTTATTTATGGCAAGGCTATTTTATTTATAAAAGTAAGAAAGTAGACTCCTAAGGTTTCAGACCCAATGACAAGGGAGAAGCCAGGAGGGCTTTCTAACCACCTCAATTAATCTGAGAAGTGAGAAAACCAAAAGATAAGCTAGGAATTTACCATCCATTCCATGAACCTCCCACTGAATTCCAGTCTAACAGCCTGATCATACGTACAAGTGGGTCTAAAGCTTAAGATACACAGAGAGTTCAGGCCGCATGGCCTTTAAGAGCTGCTGTAATAAAAACTACACTTAAGGACAGCATTTCCCTTCCAAACTATTACTCAAAATTCTTCACACTTCCCCCTAGGTGAGGCTGAACTCTGACAATGAGCAAGGAAAATGGTTTTATGCATCTGAGCCACAGTTTGGTGCCGGAAAGGCGAGCAATCCCACTGATGGAAAATAACACGTTTGCCTTTCGAAAGCCCAAATCTCTCTAGAAACCTGATTTGCTCACTCTCTTGCCTCGGTACAGGATGGACAGTAGAAAGGTGCGTGATGTAGAGGGAAAAGAGCGAGCGAGCTTGAAGCACTAGGCCGCAGGCCTTCAGCCAATGAGTCGACACCGGAAGCACATGGGCCCAGCTCCCGATCCGGGCGGCCCCTCCGGCTCATACTGACCCGTTATCATAACGTGCTGATCGAAGATTGCTTGATTCCTACAGCCTCCCCCTTCCTGCTTCCTTCAGACGCCCAAACCAAGCCCAGAGCTCAAATGCTCGGCTGTTCAGAGTGTGAACACCAGAGGCACGTGCACACCCGTCTGTGAGTGTGTGAGTGTGTGTGTGTGGTGTGGTGCTGGAGCATCAGGCCAGAAGAGCACCCTGATCAGGGACACTGGGCCAGCCCTGAAGAGTCACAGTAAAAACACCCTCCTTTCCAAAGCAGCTGTTCTGGAAGGGTCGACTCTGCCTCACGTACAAACTGCTCCACCTCCCACAGATTCGGGAAGGCCTCATCTTTACGACCCAGCCCATGTTGTTAAAAATGAATAAAATAAACAACAAAATTTATATTGACATGAGGTGAGCTTTTTCCTTAAAGAACAATGTACTATTTGGGGCCCCTTTTCAAAGATAAAGAATAGATGGCTTCTTAAAATGCAGCTCCCACTGGACGAGGCCACCTGGGGCCAGGACCCGGGCTCCTCATCATGCTGCCGCCCTGCCACCCCTACTTCTGACTCGAAGCGTGCTGGTTCTCGGCTGTTGCTCAGGAAAAGCCCAAACCACATAATAGCAGCTCCTCGTGTGAGCGCCGACTGTATGCCAGGCGGCTTCCCCAGCTCGTCTCATTTATGCTGAGAGAAATCGTGGCGATGGAACCGCTCACGTTCCAGGTGAGACTCCCGCGGTGGCAGGAAGTGACCTGAAGGGTCCCGGTTCGCTCAGCTGAGTGTGGACTTGAGCCCAGGCTGTGACTCTGAAGCCTAGACTATGAGTGACAAAACTTAAGAGGACCTCTTCGTGAGACTCTCTTTTACCATCAAAACATTTCACAGGCTCCCACGTGACGGCCGTTTTATTTTTAGTCCCTCTGATGGACAACAGTACATCTGGTGACAGGAGTCTATGTGACAGCAGTAATCCTGTTAAGTAACTTTGGAAATGGATTGTCCACACGCCCTGCTGCAGAGAGGCGCTAACACACCTGACACGGACTGGGCGTCCAGGTCACAGACGCCGCCTAGCGGGGTACACGTCTGGGCACTGGTCACACTGCTGTCCCCGGGCGAGCCACTGCTCCAGACCACAGACGTGGCCGTGGCCCTCTTGACTTCCCTCCTGCCTGAGCCCCAACTCCTGGGAAGCTGGTCCTGCAAACACCCTGCCGTCCTCTGGACCCAGCGCCTCTCCTGACACCGCCAATTCTAACAGCTTCCGCTGCCTCCCAGACCCCGGCTGCACTCCTCGTGCCCCACGAGCCAGCTGCTCCCTTCCCCACCATCTTCACACCTTCCTCCAGCCACCTCTGTCCCCATATCCTACGGATGCCGGCTCTGTGTGTCTCTGGTTACACCTCCCGCTAGGACCCTGCGTTTGACGTGTCCCTCTTTTCTCTGCGCCTCGCAGGTGTGTGTGTTAACGGGGCTGCAGCCTTCTGGAGGGGAGGATCTGAGAGGAAAAATGAGGGGGGCCTCCAGAAGAAGGGCATAAGCGCAGGCAGCTGAGAGGAGACGGGGAGCATCGCGGAGGGAGTGGGGAGATCCGGGGGCAGCGGTGAAAGTGGGGGCAGATGAACGCTGACACGAGTGATACACTTCAACTTAGCCTCCAGAAGCGGAGGATTCCTCTCTGACTCACCATCTGTGATGATATCTTGTCTACTTGGAAATATAATGATATGAACAAAAGTTCCCAAAATGCAGAGGATTAGAGAAAAAAAAAAAACAGTGATTATTTCACCTTTGACTGACATGCAAAACGATTCCTGCTGTCTGCTCTTTTCATCCCAACACAGAGAGATCTAAATCCTTAGAAGAATTACGATGCCTGGCTCTTTGGCACGAGGGGACGTACAATTGCCATCACACAGTTGTTTTTCTTGCTTCACACATATTCCAGTTTCATTTCAATCACACATATATCCAAATCAATACAACTCTGACCCTTTTGCAGTTTGTCCAACATAAAATGATTAGTCCACAGAAAGCTTTCACAGCTTCTAACTCATGTAGGTCCCTGACTTCCACGTTCTTCAAATACGCAGATATTCGTTTGTAAGTTACATGCCACAAACAGGCCAACACCAAGACAATCACTCAGTTTGGTTCCCAATAAAAAATCCCCCCACCCTCCCAGAAAACCACAAGCAAACATCACCCTCATACCTTGACGCCTTTGGTATCCTCTTCATCAAACGAACCAATGTCAAAGGCGTCGGCAGCATTGACTTCGCCCCGGGGAGGGATCAGGGGTGGAGGATACTGGAATACCCAAAGAGGTGTGGCTCAGGGATCAGATGACCTTACGGTCCCGTCCCAACCCACCACTCCACAAAGGGGACACCGCGCAGGGTATCCACACGCCGCACCGGGCAGCACGGCGTCCGAGCTCATACAAATCAATCACACGTTTCACAGACGAGCATGCGCACTGAAACAGCCCCAAAGGGAGCCCTGGATTTTAACAAATTTAAGTAAAAAAAGAAAAAGATTCATGCTCAAAGTCTTAAATAATTATTAAATATAGTGAAGCCTCAAAGCTGCCCATCCTCCCAGTGCAACGTTAAGAAAGCACGTTCTCTCGGATGACGGGGCCACATTCGAGCTGCTGCAGCATTCATGTACAACAGGGCCCCAGACAGAGGGCTCCACACCCACAAAGGTCCTGGGGCCAATGCTGACAGACCAGAGCTGGACCTCTGACTCGAACCAGGCGGGACTAACAGAGCATCAATCCTCCACAGTTTGAGTTCATGCAAAAACAAGTCCAAAGCTGACAACCGATGTTTTTAAAAAACTAATTTTGGGGGTTTGCCTATATCCATGAGAATATCAAAATATCTTGAAATAAAGATGATATCCAATTACGCTAATTCTTAAATTATGTGGTGCTGGGCTGGAAAGTATATGTAAGTTTATGACAAACGTTTCTCACACATTTTTACATAGATCTACATAAAAATAGTCACATATTGAGATAAGACGTCGAGAAGAGCTGAAGCTAAAAATGTCTCAATTGTGCGGATATTTGAATTAGCTACAGGACACTGCACCATGTGTTAATTTATATAGAAGACATTTTCAAAATGTTTAACCTAGGGAAATGAAGAGAGAGTGGCGGCCTCAGAGGGAATTAGCCACCTGGCCACACTTGGACAGAAGAGCAAGAACACCGCGGACAGGGGAGGCGGGGGCGGGGACCCACGGGAGCAGAGCCGGGAGGCAGAGACGGATGGAGAGACGGTGGAGGCCGTGGGACCCAGGGCGGGGTCCCAGGCGGCATACCTTCTGCAGGTAGACATGCTGCCAGTCAACGCCCTTGAAAAAGCTGTGCCCTTTCACCTCCAGTGCGCTGCAGAAGAGAGAGAGTCGTAACAGCGGTGAGCATGCAGTTGGAACTATAAGAAATGTTTGGCAAAAATTGTCTCTTATTAAGAACACAGAAGAAACAACTACTTCCAGTTCTTTAAGAAAGCAAGGAAAATATGTGTTTTTCAAGGCAACACAGGAAACACTGTGATGTTCAGAAATATTGTATGCTGAAGCTAGGAATATTATCCTAGATGATTATTTATTTGGGATGTTTATTACAGTTTATGACGACGTAAGAGTTTTCATAGATAAGTGTCTATTTTACAGATATATAAACAGATATATGATATATATATTAAGAAACAAGTTTTCCTCATTATAAATCAAAGAAACAAGTTTTCCTGGGGACCATCATTAAGGCTCAGTGGGTGCAGAACAGAAGCGGTGTATTTTGAAGACTGCCTGCATCAGGCAGTTCCCAGGCCCCACAGGGGTGCTCTGCCAACCCTGAGCCCCGGGGCGGGTTCTCGGCCCCCTTCCTCTGCCATCACTCCGTGGGTGACGGCACCCTGCCCGGGCCTTCAAGTGCCCTGTCCTAGCAGATGACCCCCAAATCTACACCCCAAGCAAGGCCCCCATGTCCGAGTGCCTTCTCGACCTTTCCACTTAGAAGAGGCGAAAAAGTCTACAGCGGAACTCCTGACTTTCCCTCCCACCCCCTGCAGCCTCGGGCCCACAGGCCAAGACCATCGCGACTCTTCTCTTCCCCCAGTCAGTCCCGGGCCCAACCGCTCCCTAGAACCTCCAATCCTCACGCGATGCTCAGGAGGGGCGGCGGCGTCTCTGATCACAGAGAGGATGCTAAAGATCCTGCACTGCATCAATGCGCCCAGCCACCACCCAGCCACCGCCACCGCTCACGGGAGCCGCCCTACCTGCCTCCTGACCCAGCCTCCACTCGCCCTGCAGCGCAGCCCACCCCTCGGCACAGCACCCAGGGTCCTGTTCAATGATCTCACCACTGCCCGGCTCCGAACTCTCCAAAGGCCCCGGCACAGGGAACCTGCGAGCCCACCAGCCTGCTGACCCGCTCCTGATCTCTCTCTCCTCTTGCTTTCTTAAATCGTGGAAGCTTGATTCCACCTCGGAGCCCTACCCTCCCTGGCCCCTGCGCCTGGAATGTCTGCCCTCCTTCACAAGGCTGGTGGCTCAGGCCCCGCCCTGCCTCGTTGACTTCTTCCTGTGCTTTCACTGTCTGTGGTCCTCTCAATCATCTGACTGTGTCCACAATGTGACCCCCCACCCCCAATGGAAGCTCCCAGAAGGCAGGGACATGTCTAGCTGGGTACTGCCTCAGCCCAGCACTAAGAAGGGTCTGGCACTCAGGGGGTTCAGCAAATATTTATGGAATGAAGGAAGGAAATCCAAGTCAGATTGTGTCCCTCTGCATTTTCACCACCAACACTTGGGTGATTTTCTTATTCTGTTCCACACTGTGCCCGTCACTGCTCCTCACATTAAATGTGGTAAGCTAACAAGAAGTCTGCCTGCACACATATACATCCAAGCAACTAAAAATACCCCAGGGAGAAGACTTCTGGTTCAGGTCGGTGACCGAGCACAGGCATATGACTTCACTCCTTCCCAGCAACCACCAAAATGATCCAAGAGGAACATGGAGGCACAAATCCACCAGGAAGAGAGTGACAGAGGACCATCAGCAGACAAGATGGGAGTGGATGGAGGAGCAGACACTGACGGCAAAAAGTGCCAGAGTTGTGCTCCTCTTCAGCAGCCCGGGTTCATGGGTTAAGATCCCAGGTGTGGACCTATACCACTCACCAACCATGCTGTGGAGGTCTCCCACATACAAAAAAATAAAGAAAGATTGGCACAGATGTTAGCTCAGGGTGAATCTTCCTCAGCAAAAAAAAAAAAAAAAAAGTGGCAGACTGCTGTCCTGGGGGCAGAGATGCTGAGCTCCAGGCTCATCACAGTGTGAGGCAGGGCGAGGGGCTGGGAGTCGGGGAGGCACAGGCTGAAGACAGAATGTTGACTGGAACTCTGTACATGGAACCCTTCACACATGCACACTTATGCTCATACCTCATACTTTCTTCCTCTGCATCCAACCGAAAACAACTGCAGCTGGTGTTTATTCTAATGAGTGGGGGGACCTATGAAAGGTTCCACTTTTTTGGTTTGTTTTTTAGTGAGGAAGATTGGCCCTGGGCTAACATCTGCGCCAATCTTCCTCTATTTTGTATGTGGGATGCTGCCACAGCATGGTTTGATGAGTGGTGTAGGTCCGCGTCTGGGATCTGAACATTCGAACCCCAGGCTGCTGAAGACAAGCGCACAAACTTAACCACTATGCCACCAGGCCACCCTGAAAGGTTCTACTTTTAAGAAATTAAACCTGCTAAAGATTTTAAAAAGCAATCAATAAAAGGGTTGGAAACTTAAGCTATCAGAAAGTCAAACAGAATCAAAGCAAAGACATAGGTAATATACAAGATCAGGAGCGTGGATGACCATTCTAGAAATCCCAGCTTCCATCTAACAGGAGTTCTAGGGGCGATCCAAGGGAACGGAGGCAAGGAGGTGTCAGATAAATCAAATGAAGAGCCGTCCCAATCGGGGGACTCGAAGTCCCGACATGACTGAGAGCCACGTTCCACACCAGCCCTGACTCTTCACGGGGGCGCAGTAAAGCGGTGTCTGCAAAGTTCGGGGGCAAGTACTCTCGGTTTAGAACTGTAGATGCAGCCAAAAGGCCAGTCAAGCTTGAAGACAGCAGGAAGACACTTCAGACATGCAGGAGCACAGAAAGTTTACCCCCACACGCCCTCTCTCATCTTCTCACATGAGAACATGCTCCAGTTGAAGGGTCTGGGACACGGCATGCAGACCCAGAAACGCGGAAGGCACGGGCTTAAGTCAACGGCAGATTCAAACCAGGAGGACCAACAAAGGCAAGGGCCTGGTAGGAGGGTGCTGATGAGCAGGAAGAGAAAGGAGGCCAGCACTCTCTGGAGCCCGTAGGCTGAGTCCCCACGAAAGGAAAGAGAAAACAGAGTCCACAGCTGTGAGATCATCTTTTGAAATATAAAGTATATACTAAAAAATTTTATATATATAAAATATATATAAATACACACACATATCATATATACGCCATATATATATAAAACAAAGTGCATGACCAGGCTCTGTAGAAACTGTGTAAGGAACGACACTTACGTTGCCATATAGTATAAATACTGCTTCTTCACTGGCAACTTTTGAAATCAGCCTTTTGTGCAAAGCGCAAAGACTGATTAGGATCCCAGACGAGGGAAGAAACAGTATCAATTTGACAATGTAAAAATAAAACTTAACAATGCCAGAAACTAAGCAGTGGGAGAGAAGACCACAACGCAAGACAGGATGCCCACCTCTCCTTCTATATATTAGGGACTCGAGAGACACTATTTATAGTGGGGAAACAAGGCCCACTGGGGAAGTACATTAATTTAAAGCGTCAAAGGGTAAGTGAAAAAGGAACCAAAAACAGTGCTTCAACTCTTTTGGGAGGTGGTGAAAAGGGACAGCTATATGGAGAGTAATAACTGAGCTAAATCTTTACCTATTATTGCAGGAATAAGTAACTTCTCAAATTAATAAATAAGGAAATATGCATATAAGCACATTCTTTAGCTATCTATATAATATACATATAATATATAGATATAATATGTATACACACATATGCTACTGTAAAAACACACGCATGCACACACATCTATGACACACATACATGAGTTAAAAGTTGTTTCTTATGCAAACCAAGCGATGGTGGAGGGAGAAAGAGGGGAAAGATCTCTCTTAAGTCTTTTTCTAGCAGCTTTCCAGGTATTACCGTCTGGGTTTTTTTTTTTTTTTTTGGCAGAGGGAGCAGCGGGTAGAAAGCACGTATAAGATGCAGTTAGTTTTGCATGAGAGAAAATATGCGAGTACCTGATCAGAATGTAAAACTGCCAAAATCACAAACATCATCATTACTAAAACTTAACCAAATGGACTATGCAACGTCGGAATTCATTCCCATCACCTCCAAGACTGACTTCTCAAGTTAAGAAGTTAGCGACCCCTCCAACTTGTTAATTTCAGAACACATAGGAAAATACACATCTATTTCCCATGTAATTTTTTCCCCTTGAATTGAGATGGAAGATTTTTAAGGACAAGGCAAGACTTTTTTTTTTTTTTTTGAGGAAGATTAGCCCTGAGCTAACTACTGCCAGTCCTCCTCTTTTTTGCTGAGGAAGCCTGGCCCTGAGCTAACACCCGTGCCCATCCTCCTCTACTTTATATGTGGGATGCCTACCACAGCACGGCGTGCCAAGTGGTGCCATGTCCGCACCCAGGATCCGAACCAGCGAATCCTGGGCTGCCGAGAAGCAGAACGTGCGAACTTAACCGCTGCGCCACTGGGCCAGCCCCAAGGCAAGACTTTTGATATATGGCAAGTAACTATTTGCTTTCCGGTAAAGACAGCGAAAGGCAGAAACAATGGCCTACCCGCCGCCGTGACAGCCGAGCCGCTTACTGACGTCTCGCTGGAGCAGGCCCTGCAGGAGGGACTTCAGCTCAGGGGAGAAAGTGTCTGGAAGTTCCACATTCTGGGGGAAAAAAGAGCAGGATTTCAAAAACGCATCCACGGACACAGCCTCCTCACACTCAGTCAGATTTAGAGAATAGTGTTGAAGATGGCAGATTCATCACAAATATTTACTCTAAAGAAACGAAACAGTTACTAGTCCTTTTCAGAGTCGATCGACAGGCTGGGGCCAGGCCAGAAGAATCAGAGGGCTCCTCCTCTTCTGCAGCTCAGAGATTTTCCCTCTGATTTGATCTCTTTAGCTTTGTTCTCAGTTTTCTGCACCTTTCTCTTACTATCGGTTGGCAAATCTTGATTTTACCTTGTCATCTATTTCCATTCATTTTTCTTTTAGAAATTCTTCTAGGGATTGTATTTTCACTGATTTATTTTAAGAAAGCAAATTTTTACACTCGTAACAGAATGAAACACGAAAATTAAAAAGCAAATAAAAATAGAGTTTTTAATCTCCTTACCACGGTCAGCGTCATTCGGTCTATCTCGTGCTTATCTTTGGTTTTATGTTGTCTGAAAGGGCTGTGACTGTAGAAATAGAGAACATGTTATTACAAGATGCTGTCACGTAACTTAGCGCCCATCAGCGGCTAGTGTATAGGTAAAGCATTGTGTTCTGTCACTGTTCATTCAAAACTACAGAAACACAAGAGCCATGAACATTTATCATTTCCAGAGAAAAACTGACAATCAGATATGTTAGATCCTGAAAGAGGAAGACTTATATCTCATTTGGACCGTCCCACCTTTAACTTCAATGAAATCACGGCACTAAAACACGCTTTAGCAAACATACTCCAAAGCATATTTTAAAATATTAGAAAAAACCTAATTAGTCAACAGGTAGCCATGAAAATGAAAGTCATTTATATAATATCTGCCACATTAGTGTCTGAGATATTAACTGTCATATAATTTTCTTTTTTGGAAAGATGTCTAATAGTCCCTCAAACCACCCACCCCAGGAGGGACAAACCAAAAACAGGACCGAGATGCACACGCTTCCCCTCGAGAAACCAGGGATTTTAAGCAACACGTTCCTCTGACGATAACAGAGATACACTAACCTGGGTCCCTGGACACCCAGAGATCTGAGAGCTCTTACTCAAGCTCTGCTCACGGGGACCCCGGGCTTAAGAGTCAGAGAACCTGGGCTCAAGTTGCAACTCGTCTGTGCACTGGCTGTGAGCCAGTCACAGAAACCTTCAAAACCAATTTCTTCATCTGTATAATGGGTATAAACGCCACGTCCCTTGCAGAAACAGGGAAGGGGACAACCAAAATGATGTATATGCTAAAAGCCAAGACAATGGCAGTATATAGTAGGTATCTAATGGAGTAATCATTTGTGAAGTTAATGAAGGTGAATCTCACTTTATAAAATGAATGTCTGCTTGATAAACTATGTAAAACAAATTATTCTCACTCTTTACCACGTTTTTAAAACTCTGGAGAAGCTGGCTTTTAAAGGAAATCTTACCATTCAAAGAGACTATTAAATACGCAAATTAGCAAATCTCATTGCCTTATTTATTTATTTGAAAATTAAAGAAAGGATATAGATGATTGTACTTTCTTACACTGAGATATGCCTGTAGAATGGTTAACCCTATAGATTTGTTTATAAGCCATAGATAATCTGAGGCAAGATATTATGTAAAATATTTGAAAGTTAACTATAAAATGGATTAGAAAGTAGAACACATAAATCAGTGTGATTTGGAAAAAATAACTAAAATTCTACATATCTTTGCTCTCCCAGTGATCTGGCCACCTTACTGAATTAGCTAAGTCATGCACCGAAACATTTCTTGAAGAGATGGTTACATCTCAGAGCATTTCTTGTCTTAAATATTTTCATTTTCATTTTGTACAAAAGAGGGCACTCTAACGCCTTATTCTCTTTCTTATCATGCAGTGAAACACAAGGTAATTTCCATCCCTTGAAAGCATTAATTTTGGGGAAAAAAAATCTAAACAAGGTGAATTAGTCCCAAGCAAACATACAGTGATTTTCAAAACAGATTCGGATTGGAAATATTCTTTTCACCCTGATTGTTTCCAAAGAGAAAAATGCAAAAGGAACGCCTTTAAAAAGCAAATAGGATACGACCCCAAACAGTATCTTTTTGTTATTTATAAGATATAATTTTTTAAAAGGATCATACTTATATCGCTCTGTTACGCAAAATGCACAGGGATATTAACATGCTCATGGTTTGAGAGAAGAGGAGTAAAGGTTTATGAAATCCTACTAAAAGCTTAGTCTCTCTGTTTTCCACCCCACAAAGTTCCTTACTGTACAAAAGGGGATTATGTGAAGATCCTGCGTTTGTGCAGACCCTTCTGGATCTGGCTGTCGAGTGCAATGCCAGAGGCCCCCTCACCAGCTCCTGACCCTCGCGTGCTCGCCCGTGTCTGCCCCGGAACGGAGGGCTGTGTCCTGCCTCTCTGGAGAAGGGTGGCTGTGCCCTGCCAGAAACGCTCTGTGCTAAATTTAAAAAGCCCTTCATGAGACCAGAGGGAGGCCTGCAAGGGGCCTGGAGTCAAAGTTAGAGATGCCAAAAACATTTGCAGCACATGGGCCCTGTCCCTAAAAATCCCATTTTATAAATATAGCTATTCCGTGTCCAACTCAGTAAGCAATGATCGGAAATGCTTCGCAGCTCTGCAGTTCTGTGCCATAGTGTTGAGAAAGTTTGGTCTTTCAAGTTAAAAATCTTGATGCACGTCTGTTTCCAATGTATTCTTGATTATTCTTTGTGACTGAAACCAAAGGATCTGTTTCTATTTTGGAAAATGTTAAAGAAAAGCTCCGATAGTAATAATCTCCATTCTGAGCGAGGCACGTGGTGCCCACAGCCCCTGTGTGATACAGCTGCTCCCCCAAGCAGCCGCTTTAAATAGGAGACAGTCACAGGCCTGTCGATGGCTCCCAAGGCGGGCCAAGTTCTGCCCACAGCACATGCCACATTCCAGCTGCATCAGAGAATGCTATGGGAATAGAAGTGACATGTGCAGTGGTCAGACGTGGCTTTGGAAGGACAGATAGAGCTGCAAATTTTCCCCAGATGAGCTGGGCAATTCTTCAAGACATGATAAATGATGGGGGAAAACGCACACACACACCACATCAGAGATATCATATTCACGATGAAACAATGAGTTCAAAAACAATACATCTATAATGAAGTGATTAAAAACTCTTACATCAAAACTTAATTTTAGAATACCAAAAAGATTGCACGTTACATCAAATCTGTGTTTTGAACCTAAGCCAACAGCTGCCAAAATATTTATAAACATTCCTTTTTTCCTGATGGAACAAACTGGGTAACCTCAGGCAGAGCCCAACTCTCCCTAGGCCGACACGCAGGCTGTTCCTTCGTCTGACATCTTCAGGGACAGACAATCAATGGTGACAAGCTTAAGATCAAGGCTATCGTCACATCAATTCTTTTCCTCAACAGACATCTGAAATCCAGACTGAGGACCACGACAGCAATTCCACACATCTGCAACTGGGACACATCCTCCTACGCAGATGCTCTTAAATATCTGACAACATCATTTGAAGGGGAAGGAGGGAGCCGCACCCACACACGTGGCCTCTGAACGGCTTGGTCCATCACAGCGAGACCAGGGATGCAACATGCACTCAAGCCTGGACCACTTCCCCACACCCAGGCTCCTTGCCCTCAGGCCCGAGCTGTTCTTCTGGAGCGTCGAGACAAAACCACGGGTGCAGAGCAGTGTTTTCAGAGAAGCAGTAGGACGCATTGGTCAGTGCAAGAAGTATTCGCTCACAGAAAATAGAAGCGTAGGGACCCTTGGTGACCCGGTTCGACCCCCCTGCACGGATGTGGGAAGGAGGCAAAGAAACTCGCTCTAGAGCAGAGTTTCTCATCCTCGGGGCTGTTGACCTTCTGGGCTGGGTAATTCCTTCTGGGGGCAGCGGGGGCTGTCCTGCGCACAGTAGGTTGTGGAGCAGCATCCCTGGCCTCTCACTGCTAGATGCCAGCAGGAGCCCTTCCCCCAGCTGTGACAACCAAAAACGTCTCCAGGCATTGCCAAGCGTCCCTGGGGGGAGCACTGGGTAGCGGCTGACAGCGTCTGGTTCACCCACAAGGACTGACACTGTGGCTGCCCTGTGAGAGCGCCAGGATGCCCAGGGGACAAGCTGCTCCCCGAGCCTGCAGCCAGGAGGCCCCGCAGCCCGAAGCTTTGCCCCCTCACCCGCCTGCTCTACCTATTTCCGTTTCTTAAGCCCCTGGTGCCCGAGAAAACAGCTGCTCAGGCTGTCCTCTGTGCGGCCTATGAAAACTACAGGACGCTTCTCTACAAATCTTCAAGGTTTTCCCACATGCAACCTGGTAAGGAAGCGGACAGGTGACACGATCCACTCGCCTACCACTGAGAGGAGAAGGCTCCTGGGCACAGCCCCATCGCCTGCAGACCCAACACGGGGTTTTGTTTCTAAAGGGCCCTCAACAAACATCAGTTTAATACGAACCACTGACATTTTACAACTGCTGATTTTGGTAATGATATCACCACCCTCCCAATTACCTTGAATCTAAACCAGCACCGTCTTTGACTCCGATCCTTCCACATGCAAGCATCCATTGGAAAAAAAAAGAAAAAACTCAAAATCACTGTAGTGCTGTGGACTCTAACGATAATACTAAGTCCCAGTACCGCGGTGCTAGTCCGGGTGCTCACGCCTCCTGTCTTTGTCCCTCCTTGCGCCGTGCTGCTGCCAGAATCCTCTTACTGGAAAACAACCCCACCGGGTCCCCCCTTTGCCCGAAAGCCTTCAGCCCTGGGGCCTCGAGAACAAAGCCCCACCTCCCAGCATGGAGTGCCAGGTGCTCCCCAGTCTTGACCGCATCTTCTCGCCTTCCTTTCTGAGCACACCCTCCTCTCCTGACAAACAGCTGACCCGCCACTCACAGGTCACTGATGGGGAAAGCCAGCCTGTTCTGTATTGTCCCCTCCATGTAGAAAACAGGCTTAGCCTGGCCCCAAGTCTTCAGATTGCCATCCTATCTGTCTCTCAAATCTCTTCATGTTCCATCTCCACCAGGAAGTCGGCCCTCCTCTCCCAAGTTAGAGCTGGTTGCCCATTTCCGTGGTCCCCAGGACCGTGCCACCCCGTGAGTCAGCACAGATACCTGGCTCACAGTCCTCAGTGTGTCTCTACTCTCCTGCAAGGTCCTTAAGAGGCGTATGTGGCTTCCTTCCTCCCTCCCTCTCTCCTTCTCTCCTTCCCTTCCTTCTTTCCCCCATAGCATATCATAGGGACTCCAGACATGCTTACCAGATTTAATTTAAATCACTAAGTCAAACGCCGTTTCCCCGCTCCTTGGCTTTACTGCTATATCCTTTCCTGTGCATGACTTCCGAACCAGTAACAGAAAGAATGGCACAAGACCATTCACCTTCATGGCAAAGATTCACCCAATCCTCTCTATTACACACTGGAAGGGTTCTTTCTATTTCAGGGTCAATAGACAGTCACCAGACAGTGACAGGGAGCTTGCCATCCGTGAGGCAGGACACTCCTTCACCGGGCAACTCAAATGCTTGAATGGACATTCTTGTGTCAAATAGAAAACTTCTCCTTCCTTAAAATGCCTTCCGTCTGCAGCTATACAGCGTGAATGTAAGATAAGATGGGCCTTCCAATAGCTGGCGCCGATCATTATGGCTCCCCTAAGTTCTGTGCTTTCCACAGGAGCCACGTTCTAGCCCTTCCGCCAACTCACCTCCTCCATCCCACCCCAGCCTCCTCGCCATCCTCCGGCCGCCTTCTTGTCGGCCAAGCTCCTCTCCACAGGAGCCACACGGAACCTAACACTTAAGCGGAGCCTCATCCAAGACTTCACAAAGGACTTCAGATCTTCCAAGTCAATACTCCAGACTTGATTTATGGCCAAATAAGACCAAATCCACTTTATCAGCCACAAATCACACTGCTGGCATATGGCTAATGGTTAAACAAATTTTCAGATGTTTTAAAAATAGCCTCACATCAGCTCACCCCCAATCCATACGCAGGGACATTACTATAAACAGACAGGATTTGCAGGGTTCCCTGTTGCATCTTACTGTTGGTTTCTGACTCTTGAGTTAACGCACTCCACAGGTGAGCTTTTGCACAGGGTTTTTATCATCTCGAAATTCTCTAGTGGGATTCTGGATGTCCCATCCTATCTCGAGCGGAGACCCCACAAAGACCTGCAGCGTCTCTCCATGTGCTCGCTGTGCAAGCAGCGACCCCACCGGCTGGAAGGGCGTCTCGGGTGGGACGTGGTTTTCTCTGGTTTGTCTCGCAGAAACGTTCTAATTAGGTGAGCTAGTCTTACGACATGAATTAAGGCCAGCCAGGCTCCACAAACACAATGATTCAATTAGGGACCAACAGGACCTGACTTTCTAAGCAATAATCCAATTTTCGTTCCCACATGAATACGGTAAGCAGAGAACCACTGGACTATCGGGGTCCTGAGGAGGCAGCAAGGGTGCTTCGAACCCCGTTTTCGGGGAGGACATGGAATCCAGCATCTTCTCAGATGTGCAGAAGGTAAGAGGATGCAGGGGTGCTCTGTGAGGCTTTCCAACAGACACGCCACAAGTTAACAAACTCCCAGGTATGTGTCCACATGAGAAATATGAGAGGGGGAATCTTGACTCAGAATTTTTTTTTTTTTTTTGAGGAAGATTAGCCCTGAGTAACATCTGCTGCCAATCCTCCTCGTTTTGCTGAGGAAGACTGGCTCTGAGCTCACATCCAGGCACATCTTCCTCTACTTTATATGTGGAACGCCTACCACAGCATGGCTTGCCAAGCGGCGCCATGTCCACACCCAGGATCCGAACCGGCGAACCCCGGGCGACCAAAATGGAAAATGCACATTTAACCACTGCGCCACTGGGCCGGCCTCTAGAAATTTTAATATTAAGTGTTTTTTGTATCTTTGTGAATGAAGAATAATCAAAAACATATTTTAAAAACTTAAGACCTCCTTTAAAATTGGCTAAAAACTCTTAAAATTAATGGAACCATTAACATAACTGTTAAGTGCTCCATATGAGAACATATTTTGAGAACACTTTCATTTCATAATCTTTTCACTCTATTCCCTCATCTTTGGTAGTTCAGAACTGAGGGCCAAATAGAACACAAATTAATTAAAAACACAAAATTACACAATTTCATCTTTGCATTTTAAAAAACACAAATCAATTTTGGCATGTTTACAAACAAACGCACACTTCTACAATGGGTTCATTTTGAGTCTTCATCCTTTTGGGTAACCCTCAAAATGCTTTAGGCTCACAAGACAGACATGAGTCATCGATCTCTAGGGAAAAAAATTATCCTACCTTCTTTAATTATCCACATTTTAAAATAACATTTACTCCCCAAAATAAAGCTTATCAGTAGAAACACTTCAACGCAGTCTTATTTTAGGTCTAAATGGGTCGTAATTTCTGAGTGGTACGGAACAAAAATACCAACCATAAGCTTTTCTATAAGCTTACGGGAAAGAGCAACAGTCATTGTCTAGATTAGCATGTCGCTTAAAGATCGCTGTGTGATCTAAAATAATATTAGGGCCTAAGAAGGTCTAAACATTCTTGATTTTGTTCCAAGCACACGCCACGGCGACAGTAGCAAAAGGACGTGGTTCACTCACCCTCTCAGAAGTTTGAACAGCATGCAACCCAGGGAGAACCAGTCGGCACTGCTGTCATACGCCGTCCCCTTCTGGAGCACCTCGGGAGCCATGTACCCATGGGTGCCACTAGGGGGAAGAAAGCAGACAGGCGGTTACTGGAGGAAACGTTAACGGCTCATCAAGAGGTCGGGGCGTTCTTCATTCAATGGCAGCGACTGTGCACAAGGGAGCGGGGACGATGGCGCTTCCACCAGAACGACTCACGCAACGCCCAACGGGAAAACCACCTTTCTGTCTTAATTAGTACAGGAATTAATAGAAACAAATTGCCACACGAAATAAACATGAAACCCGCGAGGTCCTCAGGCTCGGAGGTGAAATATGAATCACATCAGTCCTTCTCCACCACGGCCACGAGGAGCCAAAGGTCTCCTGGGCGGTCGGGAGCTCTCACGGGAGATCTGTGGGGTTGGGGACAGTGAGCAGGCGACCACACCACCGTGTGATGGACCTTGAAGGGATGGGGACGTGCACTCCGGTGTGGCACCCCCCGCCCGCGCTGAGGACCAAGGAAGTAGCCCCCGGCCTACCCGGTCAGTGACAGTCCCCAAAGGAGTGAGGAAGAAGGGGGGGCACAAGCCGACAGGTACAAGATGGAGAAATTGTGTCAGGTTTTAAAAGCTGCCGACAGGTTCAAGGACTCAGCTGAGCAAACACGAAGACAATTTTCAGGGAGCAGAGACAAATCACTAGAGAGGACACCATTTTAGAAATACTCCACGCTGTCTGCAACCTGTCAGTCCCTTCCCGTTCCGACTGCCACCCCTCCTTAAGGATCTGGGCAGGCACCGTTCCATCTCGAAGAGCGAGAGGCGGCCCGCGGGGAAGTGACAAGACGCAGCCTGAAAGGGCCCCACACAGGCCCCCCCGGCCGCCCTGCATGCTCCCACGCTTCACTGAGAAAACGGGTGGCAACACCTCCGCCCCACAGGGCGGCCGCGGGGATTACACAGACGCGTTGGGTTTAGCAAAGTGTGGGCATCTAAAAACCCAACCCGTGCCAGGGATTTCAATCTCTATTCTTATTGCATTACAATCATTTTTAATTTCCTTATAGGAACAACGAGAATCTGCTCAGCAAAGCGATCCTCCATCATTAAAGATCCCGGATCAGCTCTGGGCCCGGCACCGTCTGCCTTAGAGTCCTACTCTGAACAAACAGTGAAGACAGGCGCTGGTCCAGGACTCAGAAAAGCTCCACCATCCAGAACCTAGAGCAGGAGGTCACGGAGCCATGCTGAGAGCACGGGCGACGTCCCTGAGGGCCAGGCGGCCAAACCACTTTCTGGGAAGGTTTAATTTCAGCGTTGCCGCGGAAAACCTCTGCGGTGACCTTTGAATCTGAGATTGTGGGGATCAAAACCCAATTGTGGAATGGGAAGATACGGACAAGGATAGTGACAACGGGTTCATGCAGATCAGACCTGTAAGCTGACACAGGACGCATGAGAGCAGAACACCGCGCGCCTGCCACTGTGGGGTTCTGCTTCTGCTCACACGGCAGCCACGAGCATGTCCTGACGTTTCCCCTGGAGATCTGCACCACGATTAATACGGAAACAGCACCTGAACGTCTGCAGACACGCGACGTGAGACGCGGCTCTGTGCTCTCCGATAAAGCAAGCAGGGACTCAAACTACATACAATGATCCGTTCAAGTCAATGCTTTTATTTTGAATTTTGTGGCTACTCCACAGTTAACTTTTAGTTTATGATAATTTGCTTCCATCAGTAAATGGACTCAAGTCAGGAACCTCACCCACACGCTGCTCTGTAGATGGGGCCGCACCGGGCGAGTGCCCGGATCACACCTACAGCTTTGAAAAGACCTGTGGAACCGGGTGAAATTCCGGCCAAAAATCTTTGGTACTAAGCAGATCACTTCAAAGCCTCGGGGAGTTTGCCCACATAGTGTAAGGAGCACGAGCTCTGGAGTCAGACAGAACTGGATTTTAATTCTAGCCCCACTATGTGCCAGGTAAGTGACCTTGTTCAAGTTACTTAATTTCTCTGAACCTCAGTTTCCATGCCACAAAAAGTAGATAATGATACCTATGACCTATGGGCTTTCTGTGACAATAATAAGATATTCAAAGCAGCTGGCCATGCGTGCCTGGGCGAGCAGTGGTCAGCTAATGACAGGACAAGGGCTGTGGCTGCTGGCACCGCTAGCCCACACACTGGGCCCCCCCTCCCCCCCCGGCCCTGACAGGTTCCTGGGCTGCCGGCTCAGGAGGGCAGCGATCCTCTGTCTTGGTCACCACTGCACAGTCACAGCGCCAGCCCCTGGCACACAGCCAACGTTAAATAAACACCTGCCGTGCGAATTAGCTGACAACACTCACGACTGTCACGTCAAGGAAACATCATGATCATCTCGTCTTTATGGGGAGAAGAACGAGGCTGGCACAGTGGGAGGGAGGGTTCAAACCCAGAGCTGCGGACTCGAAAGCCTCTGTTCTCGGCCACAGCACGCCTCCTTTCCTTAAAAAATGGGCATTTCATAGTGCGTTCATCCTTTTTAAGTAGTGGCCCCGCTCTCGTCATTTGAACATGGAAACCAACCTTCCCAACCTCATCCCCTCACAGACGCTGGTCAAACCCGGCACACCCCGCCCACCTCTCAGAGCCGACAAGGGAATCACAGAGAGAGGTGGGAGCGGCTCTGTAAGAAAACAAACAACCCCACACCCGAAAGTTAATTCCTTTACAAGACTAAGTCTTATGAGCTCTTGGATTCGTATTCAGTTGTGACTACACTAAATGGAAGAAATTAGCATACGAAATAGCTGTGGCATTAAAAATTCAAATGACTCTCTTAAAAAATGTCTAACGAACTCCCTAGGAGAAGCTTATACAAGCAGAGGTTCTGGCCTAATAACTGTAAAGTGCTGGCAAAATGCTAATGCTTTTATCACCATATCCCAGATTCTGTAGAAAGAACCGTGTTTACAGAGACGGCGCGATTCACTGTTAACATCTGATCAGGGCTCTAAAAGGCGGCTCTGCTTTAAGCAGCCCCTCGAAAAGGATTGAAATTCAGAACCGCTTGACTTCTGAGAAGCATCTGCCGCTTTTCTGCACGGCTGCGGGAAATGAGGCTCCTGGGAGATTTTTTAAGAGCATTCAACACGGAGAGGAACGTTAGCTCTCTGTTAAGCGTAATTTTAAAAGGTTCAGTGCTAAGAATGATAAATTTAAAAAGCAAAAATAAAGCAAAGGTCATCTGTTTTTCCGCAAGCTGCCCACCTGCCCACACTTTCCAACCAGATAAACTGATACCAAAGAAAGAGAAACGAAAGCCAGGACGCATCCTGTGCTGTTTCTGGAGAGGGCTGGGACAGCCACCTTAGAATCCTGCAGTCACTGTAACAACCCCGGCTTCAGGGAAGTCCTCAGGCCAGTGACAACGCGCGCTGATCAAGCTGGGCCATGGCCAGAGGTAGTTCAGGCTGAGGACAGGTCAGCTGCTGGCCGAGGGCTGCGGCGTCAGGAAGTTTCTTCCACACGGTCGTTTTAGAGGCCTGATGTAATACTCAAATCTAACAACATGACCTGCAAGCTTGAACTGCAAGTAGACGATTTGGTTTTTTAATTAAAAAAAGGCAGATTCCTAATTTCTCTTCAGAAAAATAGAAGCCACTCTGAAAAGGAAGGAAAAAGTAGATGGAGAGAGAAACTTGACCTCCGGGCCTTCCTTGGAGGGCTGCTTTCACAGCTTCCATGACACGTGGCCTTTTCCACTTCTCCTCATGACAACTTTCAGGCACTTATCATTACCTCTACTTTACAGAAGAAGAGACCGAGGGTCACAGAGGTAAGCTGACCAACTCAGGGTCACACAGCCAGTGTGAATTTGGGCGTCTTGCTGAGACCCCTCCTTCCCACAGACCACCCTGGCCCCTGAGCCCTTTGCTGTGGGTCTGTCCACACTTCCCCCAGACAGCAAGAGAAAGTGCCCCACCCTCGTGTCCTCCCACACCCCGGGACATGGGGTCTTCCCCCAACCAGGCATCATCACATATTGAAATCACCAATGGCAAGAAAAAGTTGGGGGAACACACGACCAGGTCGGGGTCTGAGTGAATAAACGAGTGGCCTCAGAGAAACGACAGCAAGCAGTCAATGCACTACTCACACGCTGGCGTGTGGCTTCTTTTTGGAAAAATCACAGGCCAGGCCGAGATCTGATATCCGCACGTGTCCGTGTTCGTCCAAGAGGATGTTTGCGGGCTAGAGAGAAAGAGAAGATGATCTTCAAGAGTTCCCAAAATGCCTGGTGGCTTCAAGAACTTCTAAAACGACAGGCACACGTATTTTACTGTTTCACCACAGTCTGTTCCTAAACACCAATGCTAGCTTATATTATCACACCCAGGGAGGGCGTGACACTGAGAATAGTGTTTTTCATGCTAATTTCAGCAGGAAAATGGTAATGACAGAAGCGAAGGATTCTACTCGTTCAACACTTCACCACAGTTGAAAGCTCGTCCTTCTCACGCCAAGAACAGCGATCTGGCCAGGACAGCGGCCTGTCCACAGAGCGGGTGAGGCCGCCAGCTTCTTGGCTTTGGTCAAGGACTTCGGAGAGGAAGGCCACCAAGCACAGAACAGAAAGAAATCTTGCGGGAATGTACAAACGCTGACCTAAGAGACCAAAAGTATTCCGCAGGGCCACACCAATCCCGATAAATGTCATTTCTGTTTGCTGGTACGTCACCAACCCAGGGCTCGACCAAATGACCAAATACAATTTTGACCGCAACTCTGATGAAATGTGTCCATTAAGATTAGATTTACTCAGCATAATCACGGCAAACAAAGCTCCTCTCTCTAACATACACTGAATTATAGTCATCTTAATGATATTTTTCTGCTGGAGATCAACTATTGTTTTCCTTGAAATAAAAATAATGCCATGCTATTATAAAAATGAGGCATGAATAATCATGAGTGACTAGAATTAAGTTTGAATAGAAATTAAGCCCGCTGCGCACTAAATAGCTTGGAAAACAAAAATACAGCATAAAGATGATTAGAAACCGGTTATAGATTTAAATTAAAATGTATTACAATAGCATTTCACGGGCCTTCAGCATGCATTTCACTCTTCTGCAAAAATCACATGAGGAAATAAAATGTCATGTGCCAAGCAGCGTCTAATTATTTCTAGTTCGATGAAAATACATTTTTTCCTCTTTATGTTCATATGGAACTAAGGGAATAATTCTTTAACCTTGAAGAAAGCTTCAAAATTTACAAACATTTTGTGAAAAAAATATTAGGCTCGAAAATAAAATATAATATTTTAGATTCTTAAAGGGGAACCTTAAAAAGCTAATGCAAAACATATTAGCTCCTTAGAGAAAGGAACGCAATCTGTACATTTCAGTTGGGACATTTCAGCTGGTTTCCTTGGGTTCATTCAAAAAGGAATCTGCGACAGGAGGCAAACACATGCTCCTACTGGGAAACTGCCACTCCTGTCATTGTTCTTCTCATTATTTACACATTTATGCATCTGCATGAGCATTTCTACATCCTGTCAGGGTCCCCTTTATCCCTCCCCCGTCTGCAGACCGCTGGCTGGATGAGTGACACCACTGATGCACTGAGCGAAGTCCTACCTCCCCCATTAACACAGAACCCGGGTCCCAGCACCAAGGTCTGGAAGGGAGGAACTCGGAATAGACTGAATGCATTTTCTCAATCCAGTGAGGTTTTCAAGAGAACGAGAACAGAAGCCCAAGCACAGCAGTCTCGGGCTACGAGCTGGATCTAAAAATCTAGCAGTGATTTTCAAAGCAGTCTCAAAACAGCATCAAGCTCTGAGAGTGGCGACTGGGGGAAGTTCTGCAGGCTGATCGGCAGCCCCGCCCCGCTGGATCAGCCTGGCCTCAGATGAGTTACGACCCAGCCACGTGATGTCTTGGTTCACCGCGGTCTAAGCCCCGGGTGAGACGCATGGTCTCTGCTCGTTCATCTTTGTACCTCTCCGGTTCTAACACAGAGCCATGGCCAAATCAGCTGCTTAGTGACCTTTAAGTGAATTACAATTAATTGTAAAATGGAAGACACCAAGAATGCCTACCCTGCTTTTCGTCAATTAACCCAGGAAAATGTCTGAGTTAGTGCATGAGCTGTACCAGGCACTGTAGCAGGCACTGAGGGACAGTGACGACTGGGGTGGACACGAGGTCCCAGAACAGAGTGTGCAGTCTGTAGGAGGCCCACAGACGAAGATGTCATCGGGGCTGAGATGAGGAAGATGACAGGATGCAACGAAAGAGAGACCACAACACGGACTGCACGGGTCCAGCAGACAGAGCGAGTGTGCGAACGGCCTCACCTTCAGATCCCTGTAGACGACAAACCGGTTGTGCATGTGCTCCAGCCCCAGGATGATCTCCGTGGCATAGAACCGCATCTCCTTCTCAGAAAAGACCCCGTGCTGTGAAAGGTGATAGTGCAAATCGCCCCCTGCAATCAGAGACGCCCGATTTAATGCAAAGCGTGTTCATTTAAAGGGAACAAAAACCGCTGTCCTCCTGAATAGTTAGGACGCGGCAAAAAAGGTCAACTGTGCTTCGGCTTTGTCTCTATGCCTCTCTCTGGTTTCTGCAGTTTGACAAGACACTGTAAAAATTATAGCGAAAACTTCAACATTGAGAAGACTGGACGTAGCAATGACCGGGATGATATACAACAAAGTGACCCGTCTCGGGCTGGCAGCGCGGCTCCCAGACGCACCATCCCAGGCTGCGCTGAGCTACTGTGCTCCGATTGCTTAAGTCCTGTCTACTAACCAAACCGACCTACGCAGTGATCTAGTGCGCGGCTCAGCGACTGGCTCTGTGGGCAATACACGAATAAATAAACAAACTGATTATATGGAGAGATATTCGATAACGCAAATACAGCTAAATTTTAACTGGTAAAATCCAGGAGGCAGGTATTTGTGAGTGCCCAGGAGTTCTTTCAATTTTGATATATGTTTGAAATTTTTCGTAAGAAAATGTCGGAAAATGTAAACAGTCAGGCAGCCTAAAGTTACAGAGACAGAAAATGCCACCAACAGGGTAAGGAAACATTTTATAAACTGTAAGGGAAAAGCTTCTATTGATCTATAAAAGTTAGTGTGTGTCCAACCTTACTGCCCTGGCTTTACAAGACTCCTCTCTTTCACAGGCATGCACTTCTGCGAACTACGACCAGAACAAGATGTAAAAGGTCTCCAGCATCCCAGAAGGGCCCTTGCCAGTTAGTACCTCGGCTCCCGGCCCCTGGTCAGCAAAGGGGACCCTACTCTCGCCTCTCCCACCGTCGATTAGTTCTGCCTGTTCTGACAGTCACGTCAGTCGGAACACACAGCCTAGATGCTGCCGTGTCTGATTCTTTCACTGTTGTGTCTGTGAAATTCCTTCATGTTAAATCAAGCGCTCAAAACACAATAAAACTTCAAATGAACTTCAAAAAAACCTAGGTATTCCATTTGTTGAACTGTATGCCTCTTTATTTTAGTTCTTGTTACTAAAAACCCTTTGAACACATACCATGCTGCTTTCTAGTATTAGAAACTACTTTTCTAGCTATAAAGTTTTCGGCACTCTCGGGGTCACTATGCCTAGTTCAAAAGTTCAACTTATAGTACTGCAGGTTTTGAAGGGGCAAGAGATTGGGCAAAAATCTGCACTGGCCCAAAGTCAGTCCTTCCAAGTTGGTTTTTAAATACATTTCTGTCTTTGGCCTTTATTATGACGATGCATTTCATTCCTAAAAGTTGGGGGGTCAGGAAACAAGCTTATTAAAGATCTAGGCCAGCTGTATTCCAGAAAATTGAGCTTCACTATAAGTGTTTTATGAAAATCTTTTCTAGAAAATGCAACTTCCTGGGGAGAGATGAGGAAGGCCAGAGGGAAACTGCAGTCAATATTTTTAAACGAATTTTAACTGAAAATGGAAGAGTCAAAGGTTTCCTTAAACTTCAGGGGGAACCTCATTATCTGAAAGAGCCGAAGTGCCAGTGTGCCTAAATTAACGCATGCTGAGCTTTCACAGCGTGGCGACGTGTGTGAGTGTCTCCAGACTTCCCGAGTGTGGCTTACCGTTCATCAGATCCAGGATGAAGCAGAGTTTATCCGGAGTGTGGAAGGCGTAGGTCATACAGACGATGAAAGGACAATCCTAGAGTGAAGAAAACAAGTGCATAAGAAAAGCAAAAGCTGTCGTGGAAAGCGTATCTGCCACCAAACACCATGTGTAGATTTTTCCCCACACCACTGCCCTACCCATCGAGTACAGACACCCACGTGGTAACTTTAACAGCCGCAGTAAAACGCATCTGGTTACTGATAAAATAAACAGAGACATAACAGCACCAATTGGAGCAAACTCGAAGGTTCTCTCTCACTCGGATTCAATCTTGACTCTTCTATCTACATCTTCCAAAAACTCAGATTTTACGGGAAAATATTACTGCCTCTTTTTGCTGGTCTACGTTTTGGTTCTGGCTAGTCAAATATCCATTTCAATCTCTGATTCTGAAGTTGGAAAAACCATACCACGGGAGGAAAAATGTCATCTGTATTATCGTCTTGAAAACATTCAGAATAAACACGGAATTAAATTAGCTTCCGAAAGTGGAAAAAAATACCAGGGTCAGGAACTGAATAACTCAATTGCAAAGATGTCAGTTTTCCCCAAATTAATCTATAGTTTACATGCAATGGTAATTAAAATGAAAATTTACAAGCAGATTCTAAAATTTATATGGAAATGTAAGCAGCCAAGAAAAGTTCAGATATTCTTGAAGAAAAACAAACCTGGGAAATTTATAGTGCAAGAAATGGACTTATTATAAAACAAAAGTAATTCAGACAGTGTGGTCTTAGCCCAAGGACAGACAATTAGGCCTAAGGAACAGAACAGAGCATCCTGAAAGAGACCCGCACATAAAGGGTCGTTTGATGTGTGATAAAGTGACACAACAGGGCAGGGGGAAAGGACGACCTTTCCAATCAGCAATGCTGGAGCAGCGGGATATCTGTACAGTAAATATGAACACTGACCCCTACTTCACACCACACGCTGAAATCAACTCCAGGTAGATACTGATCTAAATGAGCAACGTAAAGCAAGAAAACTTCTGGAAGAAGAAAAAAAAGAACATCTCCATGATCTTAGGGTAAGTAAAGATTTCTTAAATGTGCCACAAAAAGCACTAACCATAAAAACATTGATAAACTAGACTAAAATAAAACAAAAAACTTCCGTTCATCACATGACACCATTAAGAGGGTGAAAAGACAAGCCACAGAATGGAAGAAGATATTTACAATCCATAAACACACAAAGGACTCATATCTAGAATATATAAAGAACTCTTACAAATCAATAAAGAAAAAGGCAAACAACCCAACAGAAAAACAGCAAAAATAATAATAATAAAAAGTAGGCACCTTACATAACAGGATACTCTAGGGCGGGCAAGCCCATATGAACAGATGCTCAACCTCAGCTGTCCCCAAGGAAATGCAAATTAAAATCACAACGGGCTGTCACTAAAACCCAAGAGAATAGCTAAAACTTAAAAAACCGACAATATCAAGTGTTGGAAAGATAGGGAGTAAATGAAACTTTCATATGCGGCTGCTAGGAGTGTCCAACGGTACCACCAGTTTTGAAAGCTGTTTGGTGGTATCTCCTAAAGCTGAGCGCCACCTGCAAACCCCACGACCCAGAGATTCCACTCAGGGTACCCACCTCACAGCAGTGTGTACTGACATGCACCAGAGGAACTGCTCGAGAATGTTCCTCGTAGCACTATTCGAAACAGCCCAAACCAGGAGACAGCCCCAGTGTCCACCAACAGTGGGATGGATACATAAATTGTGGCCTCTTTATGCAATGGAATATTCTAGAGCAGGGCAGCAAACCTTGTAGGAAGGGCCAAACAAGTAAATATTTCAGGCTTCGCAGGCCCCATACAGCCTCTGTCATATATTCTTCTTTTCTTTACAATCCTTTGAAAACATAAAAATCATCCTTCGTTCATGGACTGTACCAAAAAAGACCACAAGCCAGACTTGGTCCGCGGGCCACTCCTAACTTGCTGTCCCCTGTATTTAGTCACAGAATGCACTAGAGTTTTGGTGGTGAACACGAAGTAGTCTACACAGAAGCCGAAATACAATGTTGTACACCTGAAATGGATAGAACATTACAAACCAAGGTGACCTCAGTTAAAAAAAAGACAGAAGGCACTATTGCCGTGTGCAACAACACAGACGAACCTCACAAGGAAGGCTGAGTGAGAAGCCAGACACAAAAGAGAACGCTTACACGAAGTTCAAACCCAGGCTGAGCTAAATTAACGGTGCTAGGAACCTGGGTGGTAGTTAGCTCGGGCGTGGGGCGGGGCGAGTGACGGAAGGGGTAGGCTTCTGGAACACCGGTAACTTTCCATCTCTCGATCTGGTGCTGGAGACACACGCACGTGTTCCCTTGTGGAAATCCATCGTGCTCTGCCAGAACTACCAGGCCTATTTAGATTCTTTCTATACAGCGAACACTTGCCACTCCACCGATTCAACTAAAAAATGGCATAAAATATCTATATCCACTTTCTCAACAGAAACAAAGAATTACTAACTTCCACAGAAAAGATTCAAGTTTCAACAGAATAATCTATTAACAGAACTGGCATTGTTCAATGGTCTGTATTAACGGCCTACAGATAAATTGGAGCTAACATATTCCTATACGCTAAAGATTCATGAACTTGAATTCAATTTCCATAAATCTTCTGGAGGAAATTGCTCCAGAATGAACTACAAAATTCATTTTGCGGTTACCTGGTTTTCCTTAGAGTTCTGTTGAGATGGTGTTCATTTTTACTGATTTCAAGATTTATTTTGCTTGAAAATAAGTGAAACAAGGGTGCTATCCCTTTTCTTTTAAAAGCCCTGTGGCCTTCCTGGGCACCATCCCACTGGGAACCCACCTGTTTCACCAGAAGTTTCTAAAAGCCCGCTGCAGGCACTCATTCTGCTCCTTCCTGAATGGGGTTCCCCACAAATCTGGTTCCTGATCTGATAGCAAACTGACCTAGAGAGAAGCGGGTGGACCCAGAACTTAGCACAGCCGGGGTCTTTCCCAGCTTGAGAGGGCACCACACTCACATCTCCACGGGGACAAGCAGACCCCGCCAAGGGGGATTTCCACACACGATGGTATACAATCCTTCTAACAACAGCCCTGAGAGAATGGCAAAAGAGTCAAGTATTCTTAAGACATGATGTTACTGGATGGGACGTGAATTGTAAATTGGGAATCATAGGCCACCTGAGTAAGACGGGCTCTCACAAAAAAAAAAAAAAAAAATCACTTGGTCGGACTTCTTAAAGACAAGGAAACTAAGCCCCCCAAAAGGGAAATGACTTGGTTGAGGTCACAAAGAAATGTGGCAGCCAGCCAAGAGTCAACCCCCAGGTCCCCTGGCCTCTCCAGGGTTCTCTGATGCGAGGCTACTTATGAAGGCCAGGTTTCCATGGCGACAGAAAATACAAGCTCGGTTAGAGGGCTAGGATTCAGTTCCCTCTACAGAACCCAAGGACTGCAATCTGCATGGCTCAGGCGCTGAGCAGACACTCTCCTGGGTCTCCTGTGGGGTCCGAGTCGCAAAGGACTGGATGGCGACCAACGTGGAAAAAGGGGCAGCAATGTAATGCCGGGGTTGATACAGTTCCCAAGATAATGCTGGTGAAGACGCTCTGCCTTCGTTAAAAATTAAAGGTCACCGAGAACTGGCAGCTTTTCAGAGGCAAACCCTCAGCCAGGAACTCTCTTCTTTGATTTCCTACCGGCAGGGAGCAAAACAGCTTGCATCCTGCAGGAACTCTGTAGAAAACTGTGATAAAATGGACGATGAAGCCGCTCCTGCAGAAAATTTCCCCACACCGCGGTGCAAGGAGTCTTTTCAAACTCATCATGCTGTCTTCCTCTTCAACACTCTTTGCTTCCAATGGCTCTAAGATTCTTAACAATCCTCAATACGGGCCTAGAAGGCTCTTCACGGTCTGCTCTGGACTCCGTCTTCATCTTGTGCTACTCGCCCCATCCCTTCAGGTCCAGCTACGCTGCCTCCCGTGAGGTCCTCAAACACTCCTCTGACTTCAGAGCAGCACCCTCGACGCCGTCTCCACCGGTTAAACGCCTTCCGAGCTGGGGGTACCTGTCCCTCACAGCCCCAGCCACGTGTTCCAGTTGTGCACACATTTCTGAGCTTATCTGCATACTACCACCTTCTCGCTTTCTAGGCGGCTCTAGAACAGCAAGGGCCGAAGTCGAGCTCTGGGAGCCCCCACCTCGTGGCAGAGCGCCTGGCACCACCCAGACCCTCAAATACGGCTCAAGGACCAAGCGAGTCACCTCTGATGAACAGGAAGTGACTTGTTTCAGGAACGTGCTGCCTGCCCTTCCAGCTATGGACATTCTCTACCTGGTTCTCAAACACGCAGATGCCCTTTTTTCTAGCCAAGAATTACAGAGTAAGACGGGGGCAGTAGTTCCTGCTGTCTCTGGGGGAGGAGGGGTCGGAATGCTCAGTTTGAGATTGACAGAAAAACAGACCTTCCAGTAAAAAGAAAGCTGCGACGAGCGGCTGCAGTCCAGGCTCGCGCCATCCCCCAGGAGAGCGTGTTGACACGGGCTGACCGACCGTCTAACCAAATGCGGCAATTTTAGACTCAAGATCACCAAAAACCTCGAAACAGTGGCCTTTGATTAGCAAAACAATCTCCAAATAACTTTCCTACAACTCTTTTGCTTAAATTATGTATTTAGAAGTGACAAAATACTAAATAGTTTTGGCGTTTGAATAAAAAATATAAACAATTCTTTAGAATTAGTTCCAACCAGTAGGCCAATATAACCCCAATTTTTTCTTTGTCTTCATTCCCTTAGGGGCAAACCAGTGAGAATCTATACAACTACTCGACCACATTCTCCCTCACTTGAATACAACAAAAAAATGCTACATGAAAATTGTACGTATACTTTCCCAAAACCCAACATTTTTTTCCATAGGCTTTCTCGAGAAGAAAGACTAGGGTTTTGAGATAACTCATTAAAAATTAATATCTTAATAACCACCTACAATATGCAGTATGCACACATCCACATCTGAAATTTAAGACGAAGACGTTGCCAATGGAAACGAGAAGCCACTGCCATTCACACCGAGTCCAACACAAGGAGCAGGCTGCTCAGTTGCCATTGCAGCCAGCTAAAACCTTGGTCACACACACACAGGACAACTCTTATTTGAAATGCTTCACGTCCACAGGTTGGGAGGCAGACGCACATATTAGAAATTATTTATAGCGATGGCATTTTCATTTGTTATTGTTGAGCTAAATTATGATATTCTTTTGCTTCCACAGCAGATAGCCTTTCCAGAACCACTTAAAACTAACACCAGAATAATATAAACTACAATACAATAAATCGACGCGATAAAAACACGGAGCCCATAAAATGATGACGGGAGAGGAACAGTGGGGTGCCAGGAGTCCAGAGACGCTGGGCAAGGAAATGAGCCTCCTGGGTCTCAGGTTCCTCGCTTACTAGAGGAAAGGGGTTCTTGGATTCACCATGAAAATTTGATTTGTTCAAATCCTTTGGGTGAAGATGACCTTATTTAGCACCCAGCCAGGATACGCAGAGGGCCCCCCGTGTCTCACCGTGTACAAACCCTCCTGGCTCAGTGTTTAACAGAAAACTCTCATGTGAGCTACACAGCATGCGACTGGCCACTCCATGTTCACTTCACGCCTTTCTTTCTAGATCCCAACTCCCCAGCCTCCTCGGAACACTGGATGGAAACAACCTGCGGGTGCACACAGGCGTGCCCAGGTCTCTGGGACACTGGGTTTTCCTGGATGTGTCCTTATGTGTACACTGGCGACGGTACAAATAAATCAGAGCCAAGCTTTGGGTCCTGGGGAACACCATTAACAGAAAAAGACATCAGAATGGGAAGCTGTTTGTCAAGTAAAGAAGACACAAAGTCAATGTTTACACGTGTGCTGAGCTAAAAATGAGAGCTGGACACGCAAACAAAACGTCCAACAGGTAGAAACACTGCTAGAAACGGACAGGGCCAAAGTCCACCGCAGGTCACAGCGGCCAAGTGCTGAGAAGATAAAGTCACCTTCAAAGGACACACAGACTGGGGGCAACCCCAAAGGGACAACTCAGATTTGACTGGCCCACGTCGCTTCCTCTCCATTTATGAATGACAACAGCCACTTTTCTCTTCCTTTTTCTTCTCTGGGTTTCCTTCTCGGTCGATAACAGCCGATTCTTAATTATACTCAAGTGATTCTTTTCTTGTTGCTGTGATTATTTCCTGCCATCTCTGCAACCACACTTGCAAAGAAGGCAGGCATAAACAGGCAGTAAAGGGAGAAGTCGTGGGCGTGCGTAACGATGTCTAACTCCCAAATGAAACAGAGATAATATCTGAATTATACACTTCTCATATTAACTTAGAGATGCTGCTGCCTGCATTCTATCCATTCTAACCTACCCAAGAATTGGTTAGCCCCATAAGTCGCCAGAAAAAAAAAAAGCCTGCATTTTTAATAAATTGTTCTAAAACAAATAAATACAGAAAAGAAAAGCAATGCTCAAAATTGAATACTTACTCCTGTACTCACGAGAGACAACATAATCCTTTCATTTAAGGCTAATGTTTCTCCTTGTTTCATCTTGATCCTCTTCTTATCTAAGCATTTCATAGCATACCTAGAAACATACATATTATTGAAAAATCCACACCAAAAATATATCTATGCTGATTTAAGTAATACACATCATACTGGAGAAAATTTCTCAAGATTGGACAGCATTTTAAAAAAGCAAAATGGCACCCAAGTGCCATGCAAAAAACTTTTTTTTTTTTTTCACTTCGCATGTATCAAGAAAAAAATCAGGGGCCGCAGTGGTTAAGTTCGCAGGTTCTGCTATGGTGGTCCAGGGTTCGCCGGTTCAGACCCCGGGTGCAGACATGGCACCGCTTGGCAAGCCATGCTGTGGTAAGCGTCCCACATATAAAGTAGAGGAAGATGGGCATGGATGTTAGCTCAGGGTCAGTCTTCCTCAGCAAAAAGAGGAGGATTGGCAGTAGTTAACTCAGGGCTAATCTTCCTCAAAAAAAAAAAAAGATTTTATAAGATTGCAGAGCGTGAGACTCTAAAACATCGGCGATCAATAAAAGGGGAAGGGAAAAACGTGTTCAAAAGAGCATGTTCTAAAATGCTATTTAATGGGTTTGTTTTTAATCTTGATACTTGTATTTCAAATAATAAAAAGAATCAATAAATTTTTATATTAAAGTTAGTTGCGAAGAAACAGTTGGCAACTTAAGAAATTTTGAAAACTTGGGACAAATTAATATGAAGGAAATACAGACGTTATTTTGGCATGCTCCGTAATCACAGGTTAAAGAGAGCAGGCTGTTCCACATGACAACAGAAAGCTGAAAGGAAGATTTTTACAAGGGTTGCAGGGTCTTGAAAATTCTGTGCATGTGTAAAATTCTGTGTATAAATTCCCACTGACAGACTACTTCTTCAGGCCCTGGGATACCACAAAGACAGCTGTCCGGCTGAGGTAGAACACAGAACATCCACTTATTTCTAACTGCTCATAACTCAGAATGTCCTGACTTACAGTAAAACAGAGACAGATGTTCAAATTTGATGTTTTCATCCACTCCTCCAGGAGTTCTTTATAAAATATTCGTTGACGAGTCATTGATTTGCTCAATTATGGGATCAAATATGGAGAACACGGGGAGTGACGGGTTTTTTAAGTATTTACTTTTTATGATACAGAATTTTCAAAATGCTTCATACTGCTTCTGTCACCACCCTCCACCAGGATGGGGATTAATAAAACCTTTAAGCCGCAGCCCAGCGCATACGGCTCACCCAGGCCCTGAGCCCTGAGAAAGCACGATGCCTGGACCAGGCTCCCCAGAGCAGGTGGCCGTCGGGTCCCTGACGGGCTCAGGGCCAGCGCGCAGGGAACCAGGAGCCTGGAGACTCGGGGGGACACACTCAGGGACTCACAGGAGTGGGGCTTGGCCACTTTCTAGCTGAGTGCTGCTAAGTGTCTACCCTTAATCTATGAAATAAAAGACTATTTACCAAACGCTGGCTGTTGTTGAGAGTTAAGCGAAATAACAGTCGCTATTTGAAGAGACAACTTGATATTATTCGCCTCTACCACAGCATGTGTCAGATTAGACATCATAAACACCTTGACAAGCGGCAACGTGGAGTAAAACATAAACAAATTCAGTGAAGAGTAACAAGTGATGGGTAAAGCGTGTCATTTAGGATCAGAAAGTCTACTGTGCAAGTAAAGAACAGGGATGAATGTTTCCAGAAGCGACTGTTTGCTAATACTGTGGGATAGGCAGCGTTCTGAATGCTTTAGGGGGTATTATTTCTACAAAGTAGGTGTTTTAATTATTCGTAGTTTATAGGCTAGGATACAGAGGCTCCCAGGGGGCTCAAACTCAAGCCAGAGAGCGTGGAAGCTGCCTCCGACCTAGCCGGATGGCGCCAGGCCCGCCACTCTGGGTCACCAGGTTTTCCTGTCTCTGCACGACACCAGACTGCAGACACCTGGGGGCCAGGCATCGGGTTCGCCCTCCATGGGGTCCCCAAGCAGGAAGGAAGCAATGGGCAGAAATTAGCAAAGGTAAATTTCAGCCCCCAAATAATAAAAAGCATGCCAGCTGTGGGAGCCATCTGAAAATGGAAAGGCAAGGCCGTCATTGCCCACTCCCGGGAGGGAGCCAAGCCGAGGCTGAGTGACAGCCTGTGGGTGACGCTGGGGCAGCAGGGGGAGTTGGGCGCTGAGTTCAGGGACCTCCGTCACTCCTTACGCTGACTCAACGATCTATAAACGAAGCTTCACAGACTATCCACCTTGCCATTGTCCTAACACGGCTGTCGCCTGGTTAAACTTGTAGTTCTGTTCTATTCTCTTTTGCTTTCAAAAATATGTTCACTTAAACTGCTTCTATATTAAAAAAAATTTTCCTCCCTCACTTAAGAACTCCATCACTCATCTTCCAGGAGACCTCACATCTGGCTCACGGCACTTCATTGCCTCGTACCAACTTCCCATAAGACAAACGACAGAGTAGAGTGACAGAGCCCCATGATCATGATCCTCGCAGCAGGGCGTCCTGCTCACCGGCACCCACCCGAGCTACTCATCGATGGGACCGACGTCTCCTGGAATGTTACATCACCCAAAACCGCATACGTTAATCAGAAGTGGGTCATTATTTAGAAGAGAATGTCTCTCTTCTATAAAGCAGAGAATTCTTTGCCTTATGACCCAGAGACCCCTTCCTGGTCACCTCTGGGTGCCTGGCTCCGCCCATGGCCTGAACCACCGTGTGCTCGTGATACCTGGTTACCGGGTGACTCCCCATTTGGCCCTAAGAGGCAGAGGTCTCAGCTTACTTTTCTCATTTACTATGCTTAACAAAATAGAGTCTATTTTCTTCTGGGGTAAATTACAGAAGCCAGATCGTGGGATTCCATATACTTATGTAGGCATTTTCTTTGGACACAAGCGTAAAATTCCAGTATTCCCAGCAAAATATATGAGCATAAAAGCTTACATTTTTCCAGTGTCTGCTTTCCTGCAGCCATACACTTCACCAAATCCTCCTCGTCCGATGATCCTATGGACGCTGAAATCATTCATGGTCAACTGCGAAGTGGAAATACAAAACAGAAACGTAAAACTGAATAAATATTAGGCGGTTGTTTTCATGCAAAACATACATAGTTGTTAAAATGGCAATTCTGACGTAGGGATCTGCCCCTTCCAAGAGTGATTCCTCGAACTGAGAGATGAGACGCACAAGGCGGCAAGACTTTCTAGAACCTTCTTCTGCTCCACTCTCAAAATGCACAAAACAGAGGCAAGTGGGAAGATGACAGAGTGGGAGTCAAGTGTGACTGTTTTTTCAGTCTCATAAATCTTAGATGACAAGACACATACCTTGAATATAAGTGAGCGTGAAATTTCTAGTCAAAATGAAAAGCGACCTTAGCTAGCCTGAAGCCAAAAGTCTGGGAAGGGTCCAGCAATTCCAGGAACCGTCACGGTCGAAGACAAGTGTACGTCAAGGGCTTCTGTGTTTTCATAACAGTGGGCCATACGATGAGTGAACGCAACGGATGCTGGCCACGTGAATTTTTTATCGATAACATCAGTGAACAGAGAGGACTCGTGCTGGGCATGTGAGCATGAACAAGACTAAGTGCGAGCAAAGTACATACAGAGGCTTTATTCATAAGCGTTTTCCTTTTGTCAGTAGCCTCTCAGTTATGTCCTGCTCCATAAGCGGTTTTAATAGCACTTGATGGAACAGAGGAGACAGCGCGTCCTACATTCATGGTAAGAGGCCGTCGGACAACAGCAAATGCCTCCTCGTTTACGTATCCTGGCAAGTTAAGGGTCAGATTCTTGAAGGGTTCCCCAACAACCCAAACATCACAGCCGCGGCCCAGGTGGAGCGTTTCACCCAAAAACTTCATGTTTGATGCTCAGAGGACATGGAGACATGAGGACACCAGGTGTGAAGGAGCATAAGCATAACAAAAATCCACAGCAGACATAAGGGATTTTTAAAAAATGTGTCACTGCCTCTTGCTTCTAAATCCTGCCAGGAAATGTGATAGAAGAGGAAAGGTGAAAAAAAAGAAAGAAAGAAAACCTCTTCTTCCAACAGTACCATTCAAGTAAAAACCTCAAAAAAAAAAAAAAAAAAACTCCAGTTGATTATTTCTTTTTCCCAATTGCAAACCTTTGTGAAGGGAGAACATGAAGAAGGGAAGAGAGGCCATACAATGAAAAGTGCGTCCTGACAGTGACGTAGGTGATGGCCTGGAATTACAGAGAGGAAAAGCTAAAAGAAGAGGAAATGCCAAGAAAACACACGTGAAAAAGCAGCCTGTGTTTGACGGTTGCTTTGAACATGCTCAAAACAACAAAAAAAGAAGATGAAACTTGGATTTAGGAGAAGACGTCATCATTTTTATTATGTGACTACATTTAATAAGAAGAAAAGGAAAAGGGACGTTAGCAGGATGGCGAAAGAAAAGAGCATACGGGAATTACTTTCTGTAGACTTGCATATTTACTACTATTTCCGTTAAAGGGTCAATGACTGCTTAAAATAGCCTTTCTTAAATAAATAAACACATTCTTGTATATGAATATGAATAAAAGAGAATACAAACGCCAACGTTTACAATAGGGTACGGGAGGATGAATTGTTCCTACATAAAGCTGTAAGAACGACATCTGGCAGTGTATTGCCCATGGGAGTTTGTTCCAGAACGAAATACTTTCTCACGAAGTTAAGCCAGAGGAAGTTTTTACTTAAAAAAAAAAAAACAAAGAAAAAGATGATACTCACATGGATATTTAATTCTACGTTTTTCCACTGACAAAATCTAGTGAACTTGTCACTAAAAGAGAATATACATAATTACCAAAAAGTTAAATATCAAATTAACTGGATTTAAAGAACAACGTTACCAGATAAACTAGAATTGTACCATTTTGTTGCTTCTCAAACAGAGCAAGTTTTCTTAAACATTTTTTCATAAACTCAAAGGCCTGAGCTTTCTCTTTTAATTGCCATTTTGCTATGGTGACATCTTTATCACACCAGCGGTGTCCCAGAGAAGGATAACATGAGCCACCCAGGTCATTTAACTTTGATAATGTATTTTATGCAACCCAACATACCAAAAAATTATCATTTCAAACAGTAATCGATAAAATTATTAGTGAGATAGTCTATATCCTTGTTTTTATATGACATCTTTGAAACTCAGTGTGTATCCTGCACTTATAGTCCATCTTAAGTCAGACTACGCATATTTCAAATTCTCAGCAGCCACATGTGGCTAGTGGCTACCACACCGGACAGCGTAGCTCTAAATGACAAAAACCCATGTTTATAAATAATTATAAGAGTAGCGAGCACTCAGATGGTGCCTCGCATGTGCCAGGCCGTGCTCATGACTCCCGCCATCGACTCGAGACCAGACATGGGGATGACCCCCCTTTACAGCTGAGAAGACCGAGGTGGGCTCAAGGTCACACAGTGAGAGAATGGTGGAGCCCGACCAAACCCAGACCAAGTGCTGCCTCTCCAAGATACACACAGTGTAGGGAGCAGCCCTGAGACCAGAACCGGAAGAGCAGGAAGTCACACGGCACGGACGTGCTCCCGCAACCCACTCAACTGCTGGATGAGTGACTTTTCATCCATGAAGTAAGAAAAGTATCTATGCCATCTCTGCTTAATAAAGATGCTATTTTGATTACTTTTCTTATTAATGAGCACCATATTTATACGGTGTTTGTTTTTAAAATTTTCAAAAGAAATGTTTTCTAGATTGAATACTCCGTAAAAGCAAGGAACATTCAGGGGCCAGCCCGGTGGCACAGCGGTTAAGTGCGCACATTCTGCTTCGGCGGCCCAGGGTTCGCTGGTTCGGATCCCAGGTGCGGACATGGCACTGCTTGGCAAGCCATGCTATGGTAGGCGTCCCATATATAAAGTAGAGGAAGATGGGCATGGATGTTAGTTCAGGGCCAGTCTTCCTCAGCAAAAAGAGGAGGATTGGCGGCAGGTGTTAGCTCAGGGCTAATCTTCCTCAAATAAAAGCAAGGAACAATTTTTGTGATGGTTGGCCATATAGATAGAGTATTCAGGGTTCTTAGAATGAATGAATGAATGAATGAAAGAAGAAGAAAGAAGAAAAGGAGGGAGAGAGGAAGGAAGGCAAGAAGGGAGGGAAGGAATTTTAATGAAATGCAACTTAGTGGTGTTATCAGCACTATAAGAGAATGCCCAGGACATCCACATACCCAATTCCCTGGAGGTTTCATTTAACATGCCGCCTTCTAAACATCTTTCAAAAATATATCTGAGGCTAATAATTAAATCGAAAATCAAAAGCAGAAGAATTCTTTGTAATTACATAGCGTCTTTTCTCAGTGAATCTAAAAGGACTTTTAGAAAGCACGTCCTCGATCCTCCTGACACTTCCATGAGGTTGGTAAAATTAAACTATATTTTGAGAGTTTCTGAGAGTTGTTTCAAACAGTTTGTTGTTTTAAAAAAGATTGGCCCTGAGCTAACATCGATGGCCAACCATTTCTTTTCTTCTTCTTCTCCCCAAAGCCCCCCCAGTACATAGTTGTACATCCTAGTTGTGGTCTTTCTAGTTCTTCTATGTGGCACGCTGCCTCAGCATGGCCCGATGAGCGGCGCCATGTCTGTGCCCAGGATCTGAACTGGAGAAACCCTGGGCCGGCAAAGCAGAGTGCACGAACTTAACCACTCGGCCACGGGGCCGGCCCCTCAAACAGCTTTTAAAGCAGGGTGAGTGCACAAGACACAACCACATTGGGGTGTACTCAGCGTTTGTGAATCCATGACGGTCACTGTTAGCACAGCCGAGTTAACTGATACAGGCACCGTCAAAAGTTAGCGTAAGGGAAGCCATCTTATAGGAGAAAGTCATGTTGGACTATGAAAAACCCTGACTCACCAGCCCCTTTGAACCTTTGCTTTAGTTTGCCTGGATAATTCAGGGCCTGTCTCCAGGGTGGAGGATGGGCAGGCTCTGTCCATTTTACAGCCCCTCCCAGCTGCGATAAGATGGTAACTTTGTTCTGAGTTCCCTAGAAATGCGATGGCCTCTGGACAGAGATTCCACGCTGATACCCATGACAACAGAAAGCTCTGATGTGGCAACTCCCAGTCTGACACACCAGGGGGGCTAGCCTTCCTAATGCCCTCCCTGACAACCCATTGGCCTATATAACTGCTTCAAGATTCTGTGCCCCTCTTAAGAAAGTGCTTTCAGACATTAGTCAGCCACCTTCCCTCTTGCTAGCAAGCTGTAATAAAAACCCTTTCTCTCCCACCACTTTGCCTCTTGTCCACTGGCGCCTCTTGCGGAGGGCAGACGACCCCGCTTGGGCGGTAACAATACTTTGAAATTCACTTGCTTGTTGGACTAACCCATGCTCTCTTTTCTCACGGATGCAGGGGTTCAGAGCTGGAGACAGTGGGTGGTGATCTGGCACCTTTTATAAACTTTCGAACTAGCTGTGGAGGGCTAACAACCGGGGAAAGAGAAGGGCCCTGTTGGCCAAGAGAAGAGTCAAGGAGAACCAGCTCTCAAGCCACACCCTGCTCCAGGAAGACACCCCCTACCAAAAAAAAGAACATCCTCACACAGATATTTTGCCCCTTCAGTGTGGGTTTACTGTAACAAGTTCTCCTCTAGCAAGTACAGATGGTCCCCGGGTGTCCAGGCTCAGTCACGCGTCCATGGGGCTTCCTCAAGCCCCATGCCTAGTCAGCACCTAGTCACCGGAATGGGCACTTCTTAAAAGAAGAGGACCAGCGGCTGAGAAGAGAACAGAGCCTTGGCAACAAAGGGCTCAGCCAGCCAGAGCCCTTGCACACGACTTGGGAAGATGCAGAAAGGACTGGGGTGCAGTGAGGGTGGGGTGGATAAGCGTTTTTAACTCTGAGCCCTACCTCCGGCTCCAGACTGTTAAGCAGCTGAAGTTCACTCCCTGACGGAGGACCACAGGCTCATCCAGAAGACGGAAAGCTTCCCCTCCCGATCCAGCCGTGCTGCAACTGGTCCCCTGCTCGGCTCAGGAGAGGGGAGAGACGAGCCCCTGCGCGGCGGGCAGCTGCCGCTTCATGAGCAGACAGCAGGGCAGTGGCCCAGGCGAGGGTGGAGGCTGCGAGTTCCTATTTATGGGGTGCGTGTGCTTTTCAAAGCTGGGACTCGAAATTCTTGGATAATGGATTTTTTTTCATTCTAATTTGAGAATGTATTAACACAAAAAGAACCCAAAGGGGGATAAAAATGAACAAGTTGACTTTAAAAATAATTCATTGACATAAAGCGGTAACTGTCGCAGGAAATCCAGTGTGCGTGCAGCCAGCTTCCCTGGCGTTTCCTGTGACAGTAACAGCGAATGGCTGATTCAGTGTGAACGCAGGTTTGCCTGGTGGTGAGCAAAACACACAGCAAAGAGTTGGAGAGCGTTCCCCCAATTTTAATTCCCATCCCCATTTCTCCCGTCTCTCTCAAGAATCATATACAAGCTAGGCTGACCCGAGTTGGGAAAGGCCAGGTTTTAGAACCAAGAGCGACGGAGTCGGCCCTGAGCCAGCAACCCATCCCCTCGGTTTGATTCCGCTGCTTTTTGGCAAAGTTTCCGCTCTTACTCAGAAAAGTGGAATCATCTGTATGAATATTAGTGACTCTACTCGAGGACAAAATTCTCTCTTGAACTCTAGTTAGAATCACAACACAACTTTTTTTTTTTTAAATTACTTTAGTTCTGCGAATAAGCGGAGGAAAAAAATTGCAGTGAAGCAGCGTTTGTTCGTAAAGGGCAATTACTGAACAGCTGCAGGCTGCTCCGGCGAGGAGACAGTCAGCACGTCCATTGTCTAGAAATTAGCCGAGTTGATGGCGAAAAGTCCAGTCGGTGTGAATGCAGATGCAATTTTAGAACGTCCCATTCCGAGAGGGCATTATCACAGAGAAACAGGGGACTGAAGAATGGACGGGGAGGTGCCTGCAGAGGATGTGAGCTGGACCCGTTTATAGGCATCATCGATAATTTCCAGAATTTTCTGTCACAAACATGCTCTATAGTTTGAATAACCCAAAGGCACTTAGTGATTTATTTTTTTTGATGAAGATTAACCCTGAGCTAACTACTGCCAATCCTCCTCTTTTTGCTGAGGAAGACTGGCCCTGAGCTAACATCGTGCCCATCTTCCTCTACTTTATATGTGGGACGCCTACCACAGCATGGCTTGCCAAGTAGTGTGTAGGCCCACGCCCAGCATCCCAACAAGTGAACCCCCAGGCCACCAAAGTGGAGCATGTGAACTTAACCACTACACCACTGGGCTGGCCCCAAGACATATTTATTAGGTATATTAATAACATATATGTGACCACAGACACTTGCCCATATCCTTAAGTTCTATGACATAAAGAATCAAGCGCAGGGCTGTCCTACTCTGGGGGCATGTGATTTCAAAGTGCAAACAAGTGAATTAAATACATTATAGAGTCGTGTGCTTGGATTAGCAAAGGTGTTCCAATGAGCTACTGTTAGTATAAGGTGCCCTAGTCTATTTAAATTTTAGAGCATTTTGAAGCTAAAGAACTAAAGGTCAAAAAAGAAGTTAAGCTCTAAAATTCTAAACAATAACGTAAGCTGTTGAGGAAACAAAGGAACACAAAGCCTGGTACACGGGACATGGTTACTAAGCACTTGAACGAAGAAACACACATTGGAAGGACAGCGCCTAACGGGTAAAATGAAGTTTACCTACGCAACACAAGATTTTATACACATACAGTATACTAACGTGCCAAATATCTCGATGAAAAAAGATTTTATATCTATTCATGAAGTTTCATACCTTTCCATAAATTTTTGAAAAATGTTGCCTCGAAGACTGTCACAAATTTCTTCTATGTATGGCTGGAAAGGAGAGAAAAGAAATTGCACACTGCATAAATAGGAAGGTGTTAAAGTGGAAAACACAAATCGGTGAGACCCAGACCAGGTGGGACTCCCAGGGACGCGCTCCCACTGCATCTTGCACTTGTCCTTCTTGGCCCTTGTCCAGCTTCGCGAACGGATTCATCATCACAATTATGTAATAGTTATCTACGTCACTTAATGGCACGTTCCACGAAGGCAAAGGCAGGTCTGTCCTGCTCACCGCTGCATCCTTACAGACTTGCACAGCTCCTGGCAAGTCATACCCGCTTCTTAAATGACCAGAGCTGGCTGCACGGGCGTGCGACCTGTGCATCCCATGGGGCTCGTGCTCAGAATAGCCCAGGGCTTGGTCTAGTGCCCTGCTGACGTCATCTTGAAATTCTTAGTCATTTCTGAACGGGGGGCCCACATTTTCATTTTGTACTTGGCCCTGTAAGTTACGTAGCACATCCTGTAAGCTAAAATCAATTGATTGTGATTATTATAAATGATCAGCATTAATACTGAGTCTTAAAGACTAAAACTCTTTAGTGACATTTTTCTTTATTGATTTTCTGCTTCTTGGAATCACAGAGCTAAAGGTAACCAGAGGGGAGACTTAACTCCGCTCCTCATTTTTCACATAAGGAGGCAGCCGCATGGCGGGCAAGCGCTTCTCCAGAGTCTCTGAGCAAGTTCATGGCTAAACCGGGATGCGGGCAAGGGCTCCTGGCTCACGCGTGCAGTGCTCTCCCCTCGTGGGGGAACAAGCTCCTTCCATTGCACGCTGCTTTACACATTACCCAAGAAACTGCATAAACTTCTCTTTTCCACGTGAACTTTAAATCTATAAAAACATCAAATACCAACCTGTCACGGTTCAGCCTTGAGTCAATCTGATACTTTTAGAAAATGTCTTGAGACCCTACACTCACTGAATGATGCAAATTTAACGTTTTCTGTGTCTTCACAGATCATCCAGAAATTTTGCAAAAAAGAAGGACCAGATCGTGGGAGCATCCAAACCAAGTGACAAGACCAGGAAGTGTGCAGAAGCCACAGTCACCAAACACAGGCTGTGAGACACCCACAGCTCTGTGGGGCCTCACTTCCTGTGGCAAAAAGGAGACTCAGGGCCAAGCCAGCCTCCGCCACCTTGCGGGACTGTCACTGTCCCGGGCAGGGCACCGAGACTGGTCACTCAAACCAACTGATTCCCTCCTTGGTAAAAGGGGAAGCGGAACCCTCTCTCTCAAGCTCTTTCCAGCTCTTAGACCTTATGTTTCCATGATGACATAGAACGTCTCTTAGCTGAGTCCTCTAGATGCGAAAGCTGAGGGCCACAAGTCTCAAGCGGTCCAAAAGACATCGAAAGACAAAACCGATCAAGTGCTCAAAGTTCTATGAAGAAGCTAAATTTGTATACTGCAAATTTTCTATTTACAAAAACTATTATGTCAATTGAAATTTTTCTTTCATATTTTATCAAAAATCCCCTACGTTCTGCTAATAAAATAAAAGACAAAGGTCACTAGAAGTTCTCAAGACTGCACATAATACACCATATTGCCACTTTTCACCAGAAAGAACCACAAGATATGCCAAGTAAATGGTGCAAAAGCCAGAGTTCAAAAGGGGCACATGTGCAAACTGCTTCAGCTCTCTGATTCCCAGGCCCCTGATCTGTAAAACAGGATAGCACATCTAATTTGCAAGGCCACTGTGAGAATTAAAGATCAAGAACGGTGAGAGCTGAGCACCGAGCCTGGCCCATTGTGGGCACCCAAATGTAAGCCAGGACCCCTCCCAACCCTTGTCGCCAAATGTTGCCTATGCAGTTACTTATTTCTAAGGTCAATTTTGCGAGCAAAAGAATTTAATAAAAAGCATTTTGTATTTACTTTCAGAGCATTTTTGTTTCACTACCTTCTTCTCCTTGATAAGAAATTTCAACTCAGGCCTCACACTTTCTGATATCAGAATATATTATAAAGCTATGGTAATCAAAATAGTATGGTGCTGACGTAAAGGCAGACATTACAGACCAATGGAACAGAACAGAGTCTAGAAATAAATCCACACATCTACGGTCAACTGATCTTTGACAAGAGTGCCAAGAACATACAAAGGGGAGAGGACAGTCTCTTCAATAAATGGTGTTAGGAAAACTAGACACCCACATGCAGAATGAAATAGGACTCTTGTCTCACACCATATGCAAAAATCAACTCAAGATGAATTAAAGACTTCAACGTAAGACCCAAAACTGTACAACTATTAGAAGAAAAGATAGAGGAAAAAGCTCTTTGACATTGGTCTGGGCAATGATTTTTTGGATATGACACCAAAACCTCAGGCAACAGAAGCAAAAACAGACAAGTGGGATTGCATCAAACTCAAAAGCTTCTGCTCAGCAAAGGAAACAATCAACAGAGTGAAAAGGCAACCTACGGAATGGGAGAAAATATTTACAAACCATACATCTGATAAAGGGTTAATATCCAAAACATATACGGAATTCAACTGAAGAGCAAAAAAACAAACACTTGGTTAAAAAATGGGCAAAGGACCTGAGTAGACATTTTTTCAAAGGAGACATACAGAGGGCCAACAGGTACATGAAAAGTGCTCAACACCACTTATCATCAGGGAAATGCAAATCAAAACCACAAGGAGATCTCATCTCATACTGTAAGGGTGCCTTTTATCAAAAAGACAAGAAATAACAAATGTTGACGAGGATGTGGAGAAAAGGGAACCTCTGTGCACTGGTGGTGGGAATGTAAACTGGGGTAGCCGTTACGGAACACAGTATGGAGGTTCCTCAAAAAATTAAAAATAGAACTGCCATATGATTCAGCAATCTTACTTCTGGGTATAAACAGTGTCTAGAAGAGACATCTCTCTCCACTCTCACATTCATCGCAGGATTATTCACAATAGCCAAGTGTGCATCAATGCTATGAGTGGATAAAGAACACGTGGGACGGATGGATGGAGATATATATATACACGTTACATACACATAATGAAATATTATTCAACCTTTAAAAAGAAGGAAATCCTGCCATTTGTGATAACATGGATGAATGAATCTGGAGGACATCATGCTAAGTGAAATAAGCCAGACAGAAAAAGACAAATACTTTATGATCGTACTTATATATGGAATCTAAAAAAAGTCGAACTCATAAAAGCAGAGAATGGTGGTGCAGGGTCTGGGGCGTGGGGGAAATGGGCAGATGTTGGTCAAAGGGTCCAAACTTCCAGTTAAGCAGGATGAATAAGTTCTGGGGATCCAGTGTACAGAATGGTGATACAGTTCAAGACACTGTATCGTATACTTGAAAATCTGTTTGCTAAGAGAGTTGATCTTCACGTATTCTTACCACACACACAAAAAAGTAACCATGTCAGTTGATGGATCTGTTAATTAGCTTGATTGTGGTAACCATTTCACAATGTATACATTTATCAAAACATCACATTGTGAAAACACTCACTTGAAAATCTATCTCCACTCTCACGTCCATTGCAGTATTAGTCACAATAGCCTAGATATGGAAATGACCTAAGCGTCTATCAACGGATGAATGGATAAAGAACATGTGGGATTTATATATATACAATGGAATATTATTCAGCCATAAAAAAACGAAATCTTGCCATTAGTCACAACATGGATGGATCTCGAGGGCATTATGCAGAGTGAAATAAGTCAGAGAAAGACAAATACCCTATGACCTCACTTATACGTGGAATCTAAAAAAAGAAACAAGCTCACAGATACAGAGCAAAGATTGGTAGTTGTTAGAGGCGGGAGAGGGGGATAAAATGAGCGAAGAGCGTCAAAGGAACAAACTCCCAGTTATAAATAAATGAGTCACGGGGATGTAATGTACAACATGGTGACTATAGTTAATAATACTGTATCACATATTTGAAAGTTGCTAAGAAAGTAGATCTTAAAAGTTCTCATCATATGAAATAAAATTTTGTAACTACATATGGTGCTGGATGTTAATTAGACTTATTGTGATGATCATTTCGCAATATATACAAACATTGAGTCATTATGTTATACACCGGAAACTAACATAACGTTGTAGGTCAATTATACCTCAATCAATAAATAAGTATTTTAAGAAACAAAACAGAAACATCACGTTGCATATCTTAAATCATACGCAATATTTGTCAGTTATACTTCAATAAAGCTGGGGAAAAAAGAAACTTCGACTCAAAGAACTTCAATGCACTTTATGGCTAATGCACCTCTGTAAACAGGGCATCCAAAGGTGTAACTTCTATTTATATTCCGGGTCACTGTGTTCTGATGGTACATGTCACTAATTCACTCCTTAATTTAATCAACTTAATAATGACTATTTCTTTCACCTAATAAGAGTACCACCCATTCTATACCTATTTTACCGAAATACTATTTTCATTTAATTTTTTATGAACAAATCAGGAAAGTGTTTTTAAAATATATACTGAAGAAGAAGCTTCTAAATGAACGTTCCTTGAAGGCACGAATCTTGAATCTTGGTGGTCTTCGTGTCTCACCTGGAATGTTTTGTTGTTTTTTTTTTTTTTAATGTTACTTAGGCTCCAGGAAAAGTTCAAATCAGAGTTGTGAAATCCACGTACTGTGAGGTGTAATGTAGCAACGTGAAATGTGATTGACAGTAAGACAGTCTACGAACCACGTCAAAGTCCGTTGAAAACTGAAATTCTGACTCTAAAATACCATGGAGACAACAAAAAGCAAAAATTCACGTTGCGCTTTTTGAATGTAAAATAGGTGCTAATAGCTAACATTTATGGAGCATTGTGATGGGCAGGCTCAGGGCAAAGCAACACACCGTGTACTTTCCTCACAGAATCCTCGAGGATCCCTCAGAGGGAGGGAGAGACAGCCCACTGTCATCTCCACTTTACAGAGAGAAAAGTGAAGTTAGGAAAAGGGCAGGAGCTCGCCCAGGGTCTCTGGGCCGTGGCCCCAGGATTTAACCCAGGTCAACGGATTCAGAGCCCAAGCTCATAACCAACTAGACTAGACAGACAGGTCCCACATTTTAGGAAAAGTCCTAATTACCTAATTACTTTAATTAATTAATAGTAATTATTTTGGCAGACATGTAACACTCAATTTGTTCTATATCCAAATGTTCTGAGAGCCAAATTAGTATTTTCTTTATAGAATAATCAGATTCATTTTGTATAAATAAATCCTATCCTGAGACACCAAAGCAGAAATCAACTCACTTCTCTGTAAAGAACTGAACAACCCAAGAAAAGGATAAATTAATTCTTTTCATTGATGAAAATCATCACATTACTTATGGCATTCCTTCCTACTTCTTATAACCAAGGGACATAAAAGGTACAGTATCCATTTGAAAACCTGACCATGTCCTTGCAAGCCGCTGCCACCTCTACAGAAAACACACAGGACAGAACAGGCTTCGCGAGGAGGTGAAACCATCACAGCTGAAGGGCGGCAGCTACGTGGGCCCTCCCGCTGTGGATTGAGCTTTCCAAATCTAGTCGTTTAGCTCTCGATGCCTGTGTTGCGTTCAAGATAGGAGGAGCCAAGGCAAATCCATTGCTCATCACGACTCCAGGGTCGTAAAACCTTCACTCTGGATGCTTGAAAAGGAATCTATTTCACCTGCGGGATAATCCCCATGGGGAGCGACACCTCTCTCTACAAAATAAATCTTGTCCCTGCTCATCACAGGAGCCTGGAATGACAAATGGCACCAGGCTTTCTTCTCCAATGTCTTGTCTTGACTAATTTATAGAAAATAACGTTACTAGAAAGCTCTGTGACCTTTTTCAGGAAAGTCCTTATGCAGGATGTTGGCATAAGAGCACATTTCAATGAGAAGTCAAACAATATTAAAGTTCAATTGTTCCAGATAACGCTCCAGATAAGAACACGGGTTTACACATCAATTCCTCAAGTACATTCACACATGCAGGGAGAATGTCACCAAGCCCAACGGTCAAGCAAATTAAAATGTTTATTTGGAAATAATTTTATCTTACCTGAAAAAGAGTTGATGTCACTTGCTTCTTGGATAGATGACTTTGCACGTGTTCTACAGCTTGCCTTGAGAATGGCTTTTTAAAAATCAAAAACAATATTTTTTCCACAAATAGAAAACGAACAAACCTCTGTATGTTATACAACATCACAACAGATCATTTAACACAACCATGACTACACAGTAACCTATGATAATTACATTAACACACATTCTTTAAAAGTCTACTGAATATCATGGGCCATCCAAACAGCTGCTCGCTCCTCTGAGCTTCCAGAGCTCTCAGAGGCCACGTGGGGAAGCCTGAGGGCATCTGATGGACACGTCTAATTCCACAAGAGTTCAAGATGAGGGTGATGAAAAAGCATAAAGAATCTTATCGTCACCTTATTAAATATATACATCCCTCAATTAGTTGGTAACAGGGTCCTAAAAATGTAAAATTCCTACTATATAAGATAAAATGAATGCACGAAAATATACTTAAGAATTAAATGCCAGGATGACAAAGCTAAGTCAGGGAGGTAAAGGGCTCTGGTTAAGGAAAGTCTTGCTGTGTCCACAGCTGAGGGGGACCGGGTCGAAAAGGATGGAACCTACACTGACAAGAACTACAAACTCTACTGTCCCCTAAAACTTCAAATTATGCCCTCTTCAACAACGCACGAGAAAAGCTTAAAAAGCACATCCTACTGCTGAAAACCCTCTAAATTTCTGAGCTACACAAAAACTAAGTTAACGGAGGCTTTCCCAGTGACTATCCGGCATTTTCCAAAGTTCAGTCATTCTCCAGCAAGGGAGCAAGCAAAGAGCATCAACGGCTAGCTCTAGCTCAGAAATCTTTCTACGACAAGGTAGGTGGGAACAACAAGCATCATATGCTACAAGAGGTATCACCTTTAGCCACAGTTATTCAGAAGCCAGCAGGAACTGTAAACAGCACAATAAATACAGAAGCACTAACATACATCATTATCCTGACCAGCGCCGTCCAATCGAGCTTTGTGCGCTGATGGAAATGTTGTGGGTCTGTGTTGTCTGATACAGGAGCCACTGGCCACATGTGGTTATTGATCACTTGAAAGGTAGCTCATGAGGAAGTCAGGAATTAAATTTTTATTCCATTTGATTTTAATTAAATTTAAACAGCCACATGTGGCTAGTGGCTACCGTATTGGACACAGCAGGCTAGGACAATTAGCAGACTCCTTTGGAAAACAGTCTTAATGTAGAGAGATTACAGGGGAAATTTTCATTATTAATTATCCCACTCACTCCTGGTGGAATGATTTCCTAGGAAGCTAGTTTATCCTAACGGCCGAGTTGGAGTGTAAATCTGACTTACAAGGGGGAAAAAAAAAATGATCTCAGCCATTATTTAACTATTAATGAACAAAATTAACATAATAAGTATAACCCTCCTTATTGATTCAAATAAACCATTTAAGATTCATATTTATCACTATTTGATTAGCCTAATTGTTAACATATAGATAAGTTAAAAATGATAAAGCTTAATTTCCTTCAGAAAGTCTAGATTGGAGATTAGCCTTGTATTCCATTGATCTGAATCAGCTATTTCATCAATTTTTGCAGTGAAAGCATCTGCTTCTGGAAGTGTGCATGGAGCAACAGATGCTGGATCTGCATTAACAGGAAACAAATGACAAAGGAGAAAAAGGAGGTGTCACCCTGGATGAAGACTGTTTAATTTTTAAACACCTCCTCCTGTTTTGCTTTCATTCTGCAAACACTGAAGGCTGTCCCATATTTACCCACATAAAGTAACAGAATAAAAAGTGATACTCACATGTGAACAGGACAGCAGCTCCTTCATGATGTAGGTGTCATAAATCTGTCGACTTCTACCAAGGCGATCTTCCTCATTCTCAAGCTTTTCGTACTCTTTTATCTAGATTTTTTAAAGTTATCATCATTAGGAATGTCTTCCCAGAAACTCACTTTATTAAAAGATATTACTAGTCTTGGCAGAAACCACTTCCACATGAGATCAAGCAAATGACTGAGCCGGCTATCCCACAGGAAACAACTACTTCTAATGTCGCAACAACGCAGTTGGAATCATTTAAATCCAACTTGAAAGATACAAATGGATATTTTCCTAAGATAAACTTCGTCATTTAAATTTAGAAACACAATATTAGGAAACAAATACTGCCATGGTTACAATTATCTTACAATATACCAGCCATGGACCACTCATCCATGCCAATTCTCCTTTCCAAAGAAAAAATAATTTAAATTTGGCTGTACTTCAGGTCTAAAAGTAATGATGGGGATCGTTCTCACTCAACTACAGTGTTACAAAATGAACAAGAGGGAAAAATATATGGTGAGGATTCCTGCAGAGATATTTTTTAATCAACTAATATATTGGAAAGACATTAACCCACAGATAAAAGCATTGGTTTTTCAGGTTGGAACCTCATCTGCATATAAAAGCATTAACAGAAAGGTTACTTCAAAGGGTATTATTTTGCTAAGTTAGCGAGCCAAATAATTAAACGTGCCTTAGGAATACCTGCCTTATGTGGAAATAACGCCAATCGCTCTCACCCGCTAACAGAAGCTCCAGGATCAGAGAAGTGTTTTCATTTATTTACAGAAATACTTTTAATCCAAAAGACAAGAAGAGAATGGAAACGCAAATGAAATATGGAGCCAGCTGGAAGACTGCAGGAAAGATCTTCAATATAATGACTACTTCGTATGACTTATTTTGGGGAAAAAATTGTTTCTCACAGGTAACCATTTATTACATTGACTTTCATAATATCTGTGTGCTCTTTATTCTGCTCTGATAAAAGGTGGGGCCAACCACTCCTACGGGAGAGAGTATGAACTGAATACAACAAAGTTACCTTTTTACTTTATAGTGTGGGGTTGACAGTTTTGAAATCAAAACCAGTGAATCCTATAGGAATTTCTGACAGAGAAAGAGCACAGTCGGCAGGGCGAGGGGGATGTGAAATGCCGAGGTCCTTTATGAAGGCTAGCTGGTTCAGACACTGAGAAATTACGGGGATCGTCTTAATTGCCCTGAAACACCATCAGTGTCACACTGAGATGCCTGAAACTTACAAGTTGGGGGCTTAGAACAGAATCTCCTTGGAACAGACAATAAAACCTGACAAAGGCGGGAGGACTGGAGTAGGCCGATACCCCATCCAAGAGGAAAGGACTCTTTTCACACAGAAGCAATCCAACACTGTTGGCACAACCAAAGGACCTGGGCCTAACCATCCTGAGTCAACTCAGGGGAACAAGTCTGAAGAGTCCAAACACACATCAGATCAAAGATGGCGGCCGCAAGGCAACAGATGCCAGACACCAAAATCTGAAGGAGAGTCAGGAAATGAACACAGGACTCTGGCTTGGTTGATTTCTTGTGTTGTTTTGCTTTAGGCAGATCCAAAGGTTTGTGTCAGAATGCTAGGACAAAACAGGCCGACTGCTAGTGAACCAAAGGCAAGTGCTTCTGTCTAAACATATGAACAAACTCAAGGAATAAAGCCTTCACAGAATTAGCATCCTTGAAAACAAGTGTAACGACACGTAAGTCTATGTTCCAGGGGGCCTATAAAGCAGGTTGACGTCTAGTTAAACAAACGCCAACTCTATGAAAGTAATTCCAGAAAATTCTCATTCCTCGGCCAAAGGATACTCTGAACCACAATACTGGCTTTATTAAGAGCCCTGGGGCTCATAAACTCCAACTTGAACAACAGAAAAGGCAGGCAAAGTAAGAGCCTAAAGTATCAATGGGTGTCATTCAACATTCACTTGCTATTACGAGTAAGACCATTAATTAAAGAACGTGCAGTCAACTATCGATTTGCTCTCGACAGGACATCCTTACCTTAGCATCCACATAGAAAATGCCACCTCTACTTCTGGCAGTTTGGTTGTCTGGGTAACCTGAGCCGTCAGAGGGCTGAGGTCAAGGTGGAAAGTGTCCCGTTCAGCAGAAGAGAAGCATCGTCACCAATGATGAACATTCACTGATGATACAGTCGCTTTCTGCTTTGATGGTTACAAAACTCACGGCTGAACATGGAGCCTAAATATCTGGAACCCTAAGAGCAAGTGCTTTGGGACCATAACTGTCACGGTGTCCACTTTGTCCCCTCCCGTTTGCTCCATGACCATTCCAGTGAGATGTTCTAGAGAAGTCACTAATGGCCTCTGCCTTGCCCAGTCAAGGGTCTGTCTCTTGTCCTTAGCTTCACTGACTTCCCATGAGCATTCAGCTCAGCCGTCCACTCCCACCTTCTCTGAAGCTTTCTTCTCTGACTTCTGCGGTCTACACTCGTCAGGAGCTGTGCATATCGGCATCTCTTCCTCAGCCTCTCTCGGTAGTTCTTCCTCTCAGGCTGTATTTCTAAACACTGAAGTGCTCTCCAAGCACGATGCTGGGGCACTCTTTTTTTCTCTTAAGGTAAAGCTGCTCAGTTCTACAGCTTCAATGATCAATTACATCCCGTGACTAAGTCTGGGATCTCTAGGACTCACTTCTCCCTGGCACTCCAGAGTCTACATATTGAACTACCGATTTGACACTCGCACATCCTCTCTACCCCAGCCAAGCAGGCTCTTCCCCTAGTCTTCTTTATCACAAGAATGAGTAAAACAATCCTCCCAGTTGCTTAAACCAAAAAAAGGAATAATCATCGATTCTACTCTTTTCTCACACGCCAACCCCCACCAGCCCCTACGTCCAGCTCATCAGCCAATCACGTTGGATTGACATTCAAAATATATCACAACCCAGGCTCTGCTTCAGGGAACAGCCAACCAACTGCTACTAGAACAATCTTCCTGAGAAAACAACTGTAAATTCTGGACACACAGAAAACCCAAGTACACTGGAGCACAGGAGAGTGACCAAAAGTACAAAGATAATGGGGAAGGGGCATCAAACAGAAGCTGGGAAGGAAGAGAGAACATTCCTGAAAATAAAGAGCCAGAGAGGGGGAACTCCGAAATTCTGTGTATAGACTCTGTTCGGATCTCTGTTGGACCCCAAAATGACAGGTAAGCACGGCAGACCCAAAGCAGTCCAGCCAAGGCTAAAAGAACTTAACAGGATTCAGCTGCCACCCACAGTAGCAGAAAGAGCTCAAAGTTTGAGTGCGCCACGTTAACTGCTAAGGCAAAAAATCCACACCCTTTGGAGAAGCACACAGAGTTTAGAGTGTCTACAATGTATCCATCACAATGTACAAGATATACAATCTAAAATTATTCCACATATGAAGAAGCAGGAAAAGGTGGCCCACATGCAGGAAAACAGACCATAAGTGAAGACCAGTCCAAGGTGACTCTGATGTTGGAATTATCAGACAAGGATTTAATGCAGCTATGATTGATACCTATACTCAGACATTCCAGAAAATACGCATGTAATGAACTAAAAGATAGGAAACAGCAGTAGAAAAATATTAGCTATGAGAAGGACGAAACGGAAATTTGAAAACTAAAAAATGCAATATCTGAAATAAAAAACTCAATGGATGGACCTAATAACAGACTAGAGATGTCAAAAGAGTCAATAAACTTGAAGATGGATCCCTAGAAATTACCCAATCTGAAGAACAGAAAGAAAAAATACTGGGGGAAAAAAATTGAACAGGGCATCAGTCTTATTTACGATAATAACCCAAAATCAAACATACATATAATTGGAGTTCCAGAAAGAGGAGAAAGAGAGATTGAGGTAGACAAAAGGTTTTAAGAAATAACGGCCCAAATTTTCTCAGATTTGGTGAAAGATATAAACTTACAGATCTAAGAAACCCCACAAAGGATAAACACAATATCTAAAATTACTCCACTAAAATGCAGAGATTGTCAGAAATGAGAGAGGGGGAACACTTTTATATCTGTCTAAAAGAAAGACACTTTACACATAAAAACACTGGTTGAAAGTGGATGGGAAAAGATACATCATGAAAACAGAAAGCACGAGGAGATGGAAGTGGCTATATTAACGTCCCGTGAAGTCATTTTCAAGACAAAGAATATTATCAGCAAGAAAGAGGGACATTTCATATGAAAAGATATAGCAATCATAAACATATATGAACCTAACAACAGAGCTCCAAATTACATCTAAAAATAACAATAAAAAGAAGAAATAAGACAATCCTACAGTCAGAGCCAGAGATTTCATCACCCTTCTCTCAGCAATCGGCAGGACAATTAGACATAAAATCAGTAAGGACGGAGATGATTTATTACATCAACCAGTGATATTTAGAAAATATCCACCAAACGCTCCCATTTTAAATGTTCCATAGGCTTTAGAATAAAATCTGCGTTTGTTACTCTGGCCCCGCAAACCCTCTCTCTCTTCAGCTTGATCTCGTCTCATCCCGCCCCACCCCCCTCATCCATTACAGCCACACCACACCCGGCTTCTTCCAGTTCCTTAAACACGCTCTTTCCCACCACACTACGGGCTACGTCTGAGCCAGCACTTCAGCCTAAGATGCTCTTCCTCCTCACCCTGCTCCCATCTTCGAAAGACCAGCCTTGTCATTCAAGTCTCCAGCTCAACGCCACTTCTCCAGGGGGTCAGTCTTCGACCCCATCGATCTAACGTGGCCCCCAAGTCAGAATACCTGACACTGAGTTTTCGAGTCTGGTTTGAGTATAGACGTTATTACTTCCTGATACATTTCCTGTTTATTTCTGTTTCGCTCAACAGAAACTCAAGGAAATAGAACAGAAGCTCAGAGAAAGCAAGGCCTTTGTCTACCTTGCTCATCCCAGCAATGCCTGGCCCAGCGTCGGTGTTCGATAAACACGGGCTGAACGAGTGAAGGAAATCCTCTACGGTAACTTTACCTCTGATCTTATATTTATTTCCTGTTTTCCAAGATTTGTTTC